AGTCCATAACCCATCATACCCCTGTTGTAGAGGGGATAGGGTATTACCTATCCTCCTCTGACAACAGTTCTTCCTCGAGGGTACACATCCTTCCACGGTTGCAGTTTGGCCCTCCGTGCCGCCATTCACAGTCGAGGAGCTTGCCTCCGGCTGAGGAACCCGTGAGTTGGAGGCTGGAGGATCTGTCTCCATTTTCTCCACCACTTTAACTTGGTCTCTCCTTAGACCTGATACAGTTTGTCCCGCATCTGTAATAGAGGATATGTCCCTTTTTCTCTATTACCTCCTTGCATTTTAGGTCAATTCCTATGATCCTCCTCCCTCGAGTTGATGACTCGCCAACTCGATGTCTTTACATTGAAGTTCTGACCCTGGATAAGGCTCAGCAGGTAGGTGGTGTCTTCGGCAGAAAGACCGTGATGGCCACCCCTTATTCCACGTTGAACATAATATGCCCTAAGATGCTTCCTAAGGAAGTTACAGCCCCTTGAAAGCCTTCACAGCCCCTTTAGAACTCTTACTTGAAACATATCTTGTAAACGAACTTAAAGCGGAACTAAAGAATCTGGAAGAACTCCATCCGTAACCTGGAATGGGAATCTTCCAACCGGTCAAAAGAACACTCAAAAAGTTTCTCAGAATTTACGATCGAGAAAAATCAAAGATTTTCCTTGTTTGAAGTAAGGAAAATCTTCGGATTGTCACGGGTTTTTAACAGAACATAACATAACATAACAGCCGTTACTCACTGACGAGTATTCGACACACATATAGAAGATGGTCACGCAAGGCGTTTTCTTTCATGAGCTTTTCTGTGACTGAAAAGCCCGATACGTGATGTTATCTGCCTACCGCACTCCGGATATTCAAAAATCTCATGGCTTTGTTGCCTCTTTACTTTTTGGTTGTCGTTGTTAACTGAGTTTACAACTCTTCTCCACTGAGTTCTATTGTGAGCTGCTTTTTCCCACTCATTCTGCATGTTAAGCCCCTTTAAGTTTTCGTGGAAAATGTCCTTGTACCTTTTCAGTTGTCCACCCGGCCTCCTCTTACCGTCTACAAGCTCACCGTAAAGCAGAGATTTTGGTATGCGGTTTTCTTGCATTCTGCATACGTGACCAGCCCATCTTAAGCGGGATTTTGTAACCATGACTTCAATACTCTCGCAGTTAGCTTTTTCAAGGACCGACACGTTTGAGACATGATGGAACCATCGGATTCTTAAGAGTTGTCTAAGGTGTCTCTGTTGCAACTTGTTTAATGCGTTCATGTGTCGGCGGTACGGCACCCAGGTTTCGCTCCCATATAACATGTGGGGATCATAATTGCTTGGTACACTGCAAATTTTGTTTTTGTACTGAAGTCATGATTGTAGAAAACCCTGTCTTTTAATTTCCAGAATGCTCTTGAGGCGCTACTAATCCTGTGCTGAGTTTCGGAGTCAATATTGGCCTTTTCTGAAACCAAACTGCCAAGGTAATTGAATTCCGCCACATATTCTAATAGTTCTCCGATTTTTATAGCATTGTTGTGATCTTCAGGGGGAGTGCACATGATTTTAGTTTTGTCGATGTTTAGCTTAATGTCCAAAGCCTCGTATGCCCAGGTATATGTGTTCAACATTTCTTGTAATTGTTGTACCGTGTTTGCAACTAGAGCGCAGTCGTCAGCGTATTAAAGTTCTGTGATGAATTTTGTACATGTTTTTGCCCTGAGTCTTTTTATGTTGAACAGACTGCCTTCGTATCTGTATCTAATGCCCAATCCTCTCTCCTGCATTTTGCTGTCCACTATAATGGAGAGCGCTGCCATGAACATGTTGAATAGGAGAGGCGCTAAGACACATCCCTGCCTAACTCCTGTATTTGTTAGGAATGGGTCGCTCACTGATCCATGATGTGACACTCTTGACTTGTTATTGTTATGGAGGCTTTTACACACTGTTAGAAATTTGTTGGGTACTCCGAACTTTTTCATAATTGCCCAAAGTGCATCTCTGTTCACAGAGTCGAAGGCTTTTATTAGATCGATGAATGCAACATAAAGTTTAGAATGCTGCTCTTTAACTTTTTCCTGTAGTTGACGGATGGAAAATATGGAATCGACGGTGCCGCGGTTGGTACGAAAACCCGCTTGCGATTCTGGAAGGATTTTTTCTATATATGGGTGCAGGCGGTTTGACATTATTTTTGCAAGAATTTTTCCGCCGATAGCCAATAGTGAAATTCCCCGGTAATTTCCGCAGTCTGATGCACTTCCTTTGTTCTTAAATATATTCACTATATTCGCGTTGCGAAAGTCCTGAGGTACCTCTCCGCTTTCCCATACGACATCGAAGAAAGCCTTTAGATGACCCTTGCACACTTATAGATTTCCGCCGGAATCGCGTCACAGCCAGCTGATTTGTTGTTTTTAGGCTGTTTTATGGAGGTCTTTATTTCCTGTTCTGTTATTGGGATGTCTAATACATCGAGGCTGTTATACTGAGGTATTGTGTTTAGTGCTTCTATATTGGCGTTGTTTTCTTGGTTAAGGATATGGCTGTAATATTCTTTCCAGCGGTTTCTGATTTGTTCTTCCTCTTTTAGAATTTCGCCATTTTGTGCCATGATTGGGCAACTTACCTTCTTAGTTGGACCGTATACTTCTTTTACAGCCTCGAAGAATTTACGATAATCGTGATGCGTGGCGTACTCTTCAATCTGATTCGCTTTTTGTGACCACCAGTTATCCTTTAACTTGGCGCAGTTCTCTTCGAAGCGTGTTGTTGGCTGCTTTAAAGTTGTCTACCAGTCTCGGATTATGCGGATTTGCAGTGACTGCTTGATGTGCTCTATGCTTTTGTTCCGATATATGCGGTTGATTTTCCTTAAACCAGTCTGGTTGTTTCTTTTTGTTCGACTTTCCCAGTACTGCTTCGCTGGTTTTATGAAACGCATCCCTTAATTGTGTCAGAATTGTGTCAATAGAACACTGTCTCCTCATTGAACACCTCAGTAGATTGAAACAAAAAACAATGGCAAATGCAGATTTTGTGGGGAAAATGGAAGAGTTTCATTCCAGAACACCTCATCACTGAGTGCGATGAGATTGGAGATGGAGATGGAGAACTAACCTTTTTAAAACCGTCTCAGAGACTGGTCTTTGTTAAAACCTGGAGCTCGCGGTGATTAACCCCTTTTTCACGGGAACTTTTTGTTATATTTTTGTCTATAGCTTCACCCATTTAAGTTTTGTATACTATTTTTACGCGTTGTGTAGGTACTAACACAAGAAAAGTTTTTCGTCACTTGCATCTTCTTCATATTGCTTTTCTATAAGGTACCTATCGGATGGTTCTGCCGGTGGTACGTCTGCAAACCACGATTTTTTAGCGAGATATTTTGATTCACAAAACATTGATCTAATATCTGAAAAAATATCGGTTATTGACAGTACTTGACTGGATAGTTATTAGGTTGAATTTCTCAATAAGTCAAATTCTATACCTTTCTCACCTTACATGATTTGAAATTATGCTCAAAATATGAATTTTTCTTATAATATAATACCTGTGTAATATCACCCAAACAAAAAATGTTATAATTAACATAATAAAAAAATTGGTCATGTGCGAGTCGGACTCGCGCACGAAGGGTTCCGTACCATTCATCAAAGAATATACCTAGCTAGAAAAAGAATGGACTCTGCCATACTGAAAAATGGTCCTACAGAAGTGGCGCCATCTATTGAGTAGGGCTTGTCTTAAATGGATCGAAGCGCGGGCTTTTTAAATGAGCGTTTTTGTTGAATTTTACTCTAAAATAATTAAATTTGATTATTAAATCTTATTTTTTACACAAATTCAACAATACTAATAACAAGTATTGTTGTGATGTGTAAAAAATAAGATTTAACAATATAATTTATACAATTATTAAATAAAATTAAAGCCAAACATGTGAAATATTATTTATTATTTAAAGTTCTTATTTATAAGTCAAATATTTAAGCATCGTTTATTATAATAAAACAAAACCAACGTAATACGCCCAAAGTTTTGTAAATGGAGTAAATATAAATAGGTACTTAAATGATGGCAAATATAAAAGACTTACATTATATTTTTAGGGCCACAAACAAAAGGAATTGTCTAATTAAAACACATATAACAAATTATAGTTTGCAAAACGTTTTGATAATATTATGATTGGCGCTATGACAACGACAATATTTTTTGACAATAATATGACAATGGCCGTTGGAAACTATGGAAACTACAAAAAAAATTCTGATTTAACGCCATCTGGCAATAACTAGTAGCAACTTCTTAACCTAAAATTAATTGCACTACCACCTAGTGGCTAGGGCTTGAACTATTTTATTTGAGATTTCCGTGGAAACGGTGGAACCGCTTTTGCTATTTCAGTTTCCCGCCCCTGCCATTCATTATCTATACAACGTTAGACACTATATTATTATAAACTTTTTTTCTGATTTAACTGAAATTTTGAATGCGCGTATAAGTAATTTAAAAAAAAATGAAGAAACACGTTACTAAAAATTGTATTAATCATTAATAAATATTATGTAAAAAGTAAAAATAAATATGTAAAAATTAAAAAAAAACGATTAAAAAAAAGTCGCCTTGACCAGGATTCGAACCTGCCTTACTACGGCTCCAACGTCATAGCAGCGTAAAGTCTTAACGCTTTAACCACGCGGCCACCGAGGACTTGAAAGATTCTATGTAAAATTCTTACTTAAAAGATAATGTTTAGTGAAAGTACTTTTTTATTTATAAACATTTATTTAATTCTGTTTTTAGTATTTGTACAACATAGATACATTATCTGTAAAAATTTCAACTGTCTAGCTATAACGATTCATAAGATAGAGCTTTGTGACAAACGGACGGACGGACAGCGAAGTCTTAGTAATAGGTTTCCCGTTTTTACCCTTTGGGTACGGAACCCTATAAATGATGACAAAAATTTTATAGTGCCTATTTTTTTTTACAGATATACAGAAAGAAGATCGAACAAATCTGGATACAGTGATAATGCACATTGACATGGATTGCTTTTCGTATCCGTTGGTTTGAGAAACCATCGGAATTGAAGGAAAACCTGTGGCAATTACTCATGCTAAAAGTGGGGTTATAAGTAACGCTGATCCAAATAGACAAGCTAGTAGAGCCAGGGAATTTGAATTGTACCAAGAGAGACTACCTGAAGGCAAGTACCTACCCTTATTCATTTTATGGCTGGTTTATACTTTCTCTGATCTTAGAGCTCGAACTCACTGACGACCAGGTCGCAACAACCTGGCCGAACGACCCTGGCCGTCGGCTGGCCGGATGTATTGCGTTTATAGCTGCGGCCAGATGAACGACCAGTTTCAACAGAGTTGTCAGATCTAACTTTTTGTTATGTTTTGCCAATTAGAAAATATTGTTTCAGAAGGAATTAAGTTTCAGAAATGTTAAAATATCCGAGTTAACTAAAAAGCGAAGTTGCTATTCATGAGCTTATTAAATGTTCTAATATTAAATAATGCATTTAAAATATTCTTGGATTTTCATTAATAAATACTGGTGTGGTAAATGGAGTAAGTAAAATCTCAACCCCGTCTACACGATAACGTCGTTATTTCCATGTTTTACAAATCCGCGATACCTACTATTCCATCAGTCGTTTCATAACAGAATATTCTAGATCCTACGTTTATGTAATTTAATATGTGTAGAGTAACATCAATAAAGGACAGAAACAGTATTGTTCCTAAAGGCGCGTCCAGACTTGAGCATTTTAGCCCGAACGAACCGAGCGCGCACGAACAAGCAGAACAAATAGGCCGAACAAAAAGCATTGTGTACGCGCGACCGACAAGAAAGGAGATATTCTGTTTCTTTTTCTACTGATATGGACTTCTACTGATGGCTCTTATCGACTTGATTTATTTGTTTGATAGCTTATTTTACTTATTACATATTGGCAAAAACTAGTACATTATGAAGATTATTATGGGTTATTTATTTATTGATGTACATCTTACAAAGCCATAAGTGGTAATAACAGGCAAGAGGGTGCTATTGATGCACAAACTAATAATCACAGAATTTAATAAAAACTAACTTTGAAAGTGGTATAATGTGCTTATCAATCAATCAAATTTTTAAGCTTAAAGTGTAAAAAAACAACACAATTCATTTAAACCAAAAACTCGTAATACAAAACTAAAGTGCCAAAACGAATGGCAATGTTAGGAAATAAATAAATTGTGGCATCTTGACATTTTTTACAACAGAGCTGCCGCCTGAATCACCAGCGGAAATTTAAATTCCAGTTAGTCAGTCCGGGGCGAATATGTCCGTTGTTGGCAACAATGAATTTAAAAATCGCGCCCTCGATTACGTAACTAAAAGTTTAATTGGTATCGCTTATAGGTGCCACGTCCAGAGTGGTCGATTTAACCGATAAGATTGATGGTTTGGCGTCAATGTCTGAGATAGCCAGTTGCAGCTATGAAGCCCGACAGAGAGGAATCAAAAATGGGATGTTTTTAGGCCAAGCTGTGCAGTTGTGTCCCGAATTGAAAACTCTGCCTTATGATTTTGAGGTATTTTTTAATCAACATTACTTTAACACAAATATAAGACTATATTGCTAGTAAGGAACAGAAATTGAAGACAAATTTTTGAGATGGAGCTATACAAAATCCACATAAGTCGGTCCTTTTCGCTCAACAGCTTTGAACTACGCAAGAGTGAAAAGTGCTTCGCTATTAGCTGATTTATTTTATACTAACCAATAGAAGTAGTTTTCTGAGTTTCTATCTACCACATAAATCAATTTAGCGTCTGACCGTTCGCGCTTTTACTTATAAATTTAAATTTAATCTCTGTTCTTATAACTTAGACCTCATTTATCAATATACACCCACGGAATATTGTCATTTTAGATATTTTTTTAAAGAAACAAATGTACAAAATGTACAGGAGCTAAAACCGATAATATTACTGGCCCATCTATACTAATATATAAAATCCTTAAGTGACTGACATACTGATTAATCACGATCCTGCTCAAACCATTCAACGTAAGAAGCTCGATTTTGGCATACAGGTTGATTCTAGGGTGTAGAGGTTCGATATGAAGGGATTTTTCGAAATTCCAGTTCCAAGAGGGTGAAACCACCCCTCAAATATTACAATATTTTTTATTTAAAAAACGGTCAAGTTTCCGAAAAAATGCTTAAACACGTATTTTTTTTTTGTTTTTTTACATATTTTAAGATTTTTTAAAAATGTGTACAGGGTGTTTCGAAAAATCTTGTCATTGATTAATCACGATCCTGCTTAAAGCGCTTGACGTAAAAAGCTGATTTTTGGAAAACAGATTGAGTTTGGGGTGTAGAGGTTCGATAAGAGGGGATTTTTCGAAACTCGAATTCTAAGGGGGTGAAACTATCCCTCAAATATTAAAATATTTTTTATTTAAAATCCGGTGAGTTTTTGGAAAAAACTCTTAAACACGTATATTTTATTTTGTTGTTTTACATATTTTAAGATTTTTATAAATTTATACAGGGTGCTTCATAAAATATGACCATTGAGTAATCACGATTCTGCTTAAACTGCTTGACGTTTAAAGCTGATTTTTGGCAAACGGATTGACTGTGGGGTGTAGAGGTTCGATAAAGAGGGGTTTCTCGAATCTCAAATTCCAAAAGGGTGAAAACGCCCCTCAAATATTACAATATTTGTTATTTAAAAAACGGTTAGTCTTTCGGGAGAACGCCTGGACAAGCATAATTTATTTGGTTTTTTTACATATTTTGAATTTTTTTAAAAAATCATATTCCCTATATGATTTTTTAAAAAAATTCAAAATTGCAGTTCCAAAAAGTTGGGTAATTTCTTAACCACGATTCTGCTTAAACTACTTGACGTAAAAAGCTTATTTTTGGCAAACGGATTTTTCAAAAGTCAAATTCCAACAAGATGAAACTACCCCTCAAATATTACCAAGTTATATAATAATATCGCCATATTGTTTTTTCTCATGCTGACATAAATGTGAGAAAATTTTATCCAGTTTGTATGTTAATGGAAATTCTTGCTTTGCTTTATCATCACCATTACAAATGATTAATTCGACGCGAACGAAGTCGCTGGTACACACTTGGTTTGTTTATAAAAAGAGGATTTATAGACATTACTTAATATGTGATATATTTTTGAAGGGTTACAAGGAGGTCTCCCACGCGTTATACAACACGGTAGCCTCCTATACACTAGACATTGAAGCTGTAAGTTGTGACGAGATGTACGTAGACGTCACGCAAATTTTAAACGACACAGGATTGACAGTTGAGGAATGGGCCATCCATATAAGAAACGAGATAGTCGATATAACAAGGTGTCCTTGTTCTACAGGTGAGTTTGATTTTTACGCAATAAAAATCTACAATGTCAATTATATTAGGGTTTGGAGCAAATAGACTTCAAGCCAGATTAGCTACGAAAAAAGCCAAGCCAGCAGGACAATACTACCTTAAACCGGACGATGTCGAGATATACATGTCTGACATTCTAGTTGCAGATTTGCCAGGTGTGGGAAGAGCTACTTTAGCCAAATTACGTAATTTGGGATTAAACACTTGTGGAGATTTACAGGCAAGGATTTACTTTGTACAAACCTGGATGTTCTAAATCCGTGGTCGTGGTTTGAAGGTGGCGATATTGTATTGGGCAAATTAAATATGTTAAGGTCTGTTTATACATGTCATGTTTAGATATTCGTGCAATTTAGGTAAATACCCTAATTTTATAAGACGTTTGGTTTGGTTATTCAAAACGTTTAAAAATATGATGTAGGGTAGAATCAGTAATTTGTTGTTTTATTTTACATTGTCAATAATTGTAAGTTATAATAATTTATTGTCACAAACATCCGATACGCTACTGAAGCAGGTACGTCAAATTGACGTACCTAAATTCTTTGACATATATTCTTTTACAAGTAGTAAATAAAAGCAAAAATGCAAGTAAAAATATATAACTGTGGTAATCGCAAAACAATTTCCGATGCACGTGTTTCCGATAAACATATTTAGTCTATCATTTTTTTAAAGAGTTTTGCGTTTAATCAAACTTACTTTTCTGACTGCAGTCAAGGGTAATAAAGGACCTTTATTGTCACGTTCTCGTTCAAAATATTAAAAAAAAAACAGGGAAGCTTCAAGCTCTTTGCTTCGACTGTTTAAATGCTTCGGCATAGTTTGAACACATAATTTCAAGAAATGCAATACAAAAACTCGAAAATTTAGTTCTTAAAAAAACTGTTGTGCTTAAAAGTACAATTTAAAAAAAAAGGCTATGAAATTAAGCAAAAAAGCGGGAATTACTCACAAAGATTCAACAACAACACGATATTATACAAAATAATGACTGATACTAGGATAATTGTCAAATAGTAAAGGCAACATTGCTGAATACGGCGCAATGTGGCCAACATAACGATAATAAATTTCGGTTTAAACTAATTTTTGCAGCTTTAATCTAAATAAAATATCTGTTGCAATCATTTGCTCTATAAAGTAAAATGAAGAGATGCTCGGTATCTTAAATTATACAACAAATTTAAACATTTTTGTCAAAATTTCATTTAGTCAGGTTTATAAAGTTTAGTGTCAATGTCAATATGATTGATGACGTGCATCGGAAAATGTTTTGCGATTACAATAGTGAATTTTAAGTGAATTTTATAAATGATCGATTTACTATACATATGTATACATATAGTCACTTCCTAGTGAAAAGTCATTCCATTATTTTTCCTCAATCTTTGACCGAGATCTACCGTACACTACACAACCAATTATTTTAGAGTTTTTTTTTTGATAAGTCGCAATAGCGTAACTGTTAATTTAAGTTCTGCCACAATTCCCTTTAATATTTATTAAATTTGCTATACAACTACCAGTTGTACAATAAATAATTAATAACAGAATAAGCTCAGTAAAGACTGACAAATCCAGAAAATTTCAATTCAAATTCAAATGTGTCAAATGAATCGTCAAACAGAACTGTCAAGGATCCCTACCCTAGAGCGCTACCTCCATCTACCATGCATGAATAGATGGATAGCATTATAATACTCCTTCCTTAATCTTTTTATTCAAAGATAATTTTAAATACAAAATGACAGCGATCTTCGTTTCTATGACGCTGTTTTTTTCGATCGTAGTCCAAGGATTTATAATGACCAGCTCAATATATTCTAACCATATTCTAACTGTTGAAATAATTAGTTATCTTTACAGAGATCTTCTTTAAAAGTTCTACAATCAGAACTGGGAATTAAGCTGGGCAAAAAGATCTATGACCAAGCTTTCGGAAGAGATAATAAAGCTCTGGAATTTGATCACGAAAGAAAGTCAGTATCTGCTGAAATAAATTACGGTAACAAATGATTTTATGTGTAAAGAAGTGTATATTAAATAACATTTATATTTAGGAATAAGATTCAAGACAAAGGAAGAATGTTACAGTTTTCTTCAAAGCCTTTCAAACGAAGTGTTCAATCGTTTAAACGATATAAAAATGCGAGCAAGAAATTTAACACTGAAATTATTGATTAGAGCAGAGGGCGCTCCTGTGGTAAGTCGATGATAATTTCCTGTTTGATAGTTTTATTTTATAAAAATGATTATATTATACAGGGTGGTCCGAACTGTATTCCGGAAACTTCGGCAGCATATTCTGCAGATAAAAATAAGTAAAAAAGTTCGTATTAAAGGTATTATCTGTGGTATTATTAAGTATGTCCTAAAATCACGGGGGTGTCACTTGTATGGGAAAACAGGCAACAGTCAAATTTAAACGTGCCAGGACCAACGACAAAGAAAGCAACATCTGCCAGGCATTGGCTTTCTTTGTCACTCACATTGCTTAAATCATGATACCGCGGCCATTTTGCCAACAAAGAAGCTGGCCGGGCTGTCCTGGCAAGTGATTTAAAACAATTTTGCTTTTTTACAATATTAAATTACCATTTGGATGTATTTAATGCGATTATTCAGTTAACTGGTAAGTCATAAATTACACACAAATACTTTATTCGTAAATACAACTAAGATGTAAACGTATTTTTGTATTTTTAGATTTCAACTTTTGCAATACCCGCCGATAGAACTTGCCTGGCAGCGTACCTGTTTAACTAAACGTAGTATTTCCTGATAATAATATCAAAACACGTAAGTACCTCTATAATTTATGATGAAAAATGATTTTGATTATGTTTTATATTATTTAAATACTTTCTAACCTCAAATAATAGTAAGATCCTTGTTTATATCGCACAGCCCGTTCAAAACTGTATTTAATTTTTTTTTTATATTAGCATATATTTTTTGTGATATTAGTGTGTTATCATGATACAGGTAGTTGTATCATAGTGCCTTATGCATGTTATTTACCTATTATATACTTATGTATTATCAGTAAATAGATGATAACATACTACTAAAATGTCTTTTTAATAGTATGTTTATCTTTCCAATTCACTACTTATTTGCAAAATGTATTTTGAACTAATTTAAGTCATTAATTGATCATCTTTCTTTTTCAGATTCCGGGATATTCTTTTTCATTGTTAAAAAAATATATATATTTCAATATTATTGTAATATAAATCGCAGCTCTAACAAATAAATGATATTGTTTACTATAATAATATGTAATTTATTTACTATGAATTTACTCTGAAAATAATAAGTCTTTAATAATATCATTGATTTGCTGTGTAATGTTAATAGACATATTTTTTAATACATTAAATTATATTAAAGTAATAAAAAAAATGTTTATTAACTTTAAACAGTAAGTCAGTGATACTTATAAAAATATTTTTTTTTAAATTTCCCCTCTTTTAAGCCCCGCCCCTCCAATTCCCCTCAATTTAGCTAGTACTGCCAGGCGACACAAGGTGGCGTCTGTTTCCATTTTTTAACCTGAAGTTAGCATTTCTTTAATGTACCTATTCTCTGCCTAAAATGCTTAGTTTCGGAGATACAGGGTGTAGAAGTTTCGTTTCTATTTTCATCTTTTCCAAATAATTTCTAAAGAAACGTCAATATTTGGATGAAAAATGGTGTCTGGGAGTTTTTTGACACGAAAAATTTGATTTTGATATCGGACCACCCTGTATATTTAGCAGGTCATTTTAACAAAATGTAGATACATTCAAAATAAAATAATATACTATAATTATTTTAGGAAACTGCTAAGTTTCTTGGTCACGGCGTGTGTGACGCCATAAACAAAAGCAGCAACTCAAACCTCCTGTACACCAACCCCGAAATAATTTACAGGGAGGCCAAAATAATTTATGATCGACTTAACATACCATTTTCTGAATTGAGAGGTGTAGGAATACAGTTAACGAAACTTGAAAAAATACTACCAACAAATAAAGTAAATTTATTTTAGATATATTACTTGAGTATATATTATTTAATATTTTTTAGGCTATGGCAAATTTTTTGAAACAAACAACCGTTGCAAAGAAATCTACTAGTGATTCAGATAAAATAGGTGTTGATGAATATAAGCGAAGTTCTAGTAAAAATACTGAAAATTTAGAAAAAAATAAAAATAGTACTCAAATTGATAATAGGATGCCTGATGATAGTAAAATTATTGATGTTGAAAGTGCTAAACCCAGCTCAAAAAAAATTAATACAAATTTTAGTAAACCTGTTAAATCGCCAATTAAAACGGTTTCTGCAAAATCAAGAGGAAGGCCAAAAGGATCAACAAGTAAGTAAACTTAATGAAATATAAAGCTGCTCATAGGCTATGTTTCTTTTTAACCTATAAAAACTTAGAGAAAAATAGGGTAGTATTTTTAATAATCTCTAACAAAAGGTAAGTTAAGTCAAACAAAACGTATGTTTTTACCTATATGCTGGGTGTTTCTCATAAGTAGCTCATCCTTATAACTTTTTTTTATTTTTTTTTTTTTAATAAAAAACGAGATTGGGTATGTCAGTATATGACATCAATTAGGAATGATTGACGTATTCAATTGTTTTCGGTCACTTCCTGTTCCAAAATGACACTCTAAATAGAATGACATGTAATATGTCAATTTTTGACATTTGACCATATGGTTTATTTGAAATTGCGACATGGGGTTCATAACGACAATTTGACGCAAAATATGAAGTGTCTGTAACCAAATTATTCGTAAAAAAATGCTTTTTCCAAATATGCTAATGAACCGCCATCGTTCCATTTAAAAAAAATTGAGATATGATTAAAAATAGGATTTGGGCATCTTTTAACTGGCCAGGACAAGAGATTAAAAACATTTTCTAAATCAAACTTATTTTCCCAAGGGTCCTTGATTAAAAATTAGTGTTTTTAATACAGCCACGACACTCTAGATTGAAATCTAAATACGATGTTTTTTAAAGCGTATATGTCAAAAGTTGACATATGATTTGTTATATAATGTAATACAGTAAAAAATTGCCAAGGGTGTCATTAAAAAATCAAAAGTTGTAGTGATTTCCGGTGAAACAGGAAGTGACCGAAAACAATTGAATACGTGAATCAATCCTAATTTATGTCATATACTAACATACCAAAGCACGTTTTTTTTTATCTTAAAAAATTAAAAAGTTATAGGGGTGAGCCACTTTTAAGAAACACCCGGTATATATCCATTCATTTCTTATCTTGTTCTTGGGGAGTTTAAGATGTAACCTTCACAATAATTACCTTAGGTTCTCGATCAAGAATATCTCCAAACGGCAATACATCTATAAAACATTTTTTACAAAAGGGTGATAAAAGTAGTAACAGTCAAGTTGAAGAAGCCAATAAAGAACGCGAATCACAGGTAAAATTTAAATTATATTATTAATTATAGAGTTAATTATTTTAGCTCTTCAAAAATAATAAATTTAAAACATTTTTCTGTTATAGTTGACATGTTTTTAATGTTTAAATGTGTTTTTATAAATACTTATTTATAAATATGTACATAAAACATGTAACCAATATGTAACTATTGATATTCTTTTTAGGCTAAATTATTGGAACAAATTGATATGACTGTACTGAATGAACTACCTGAAGAGATTAGATTAGAAGTTCTACAAGAATATGGAATTACCTCAACAAAATTCAACACGATAAAAAATAACACAGTCGTGGCTGTTAAAATGAAAACAAGCGAAAAAAATTCAGGTAAACTAAAAAAATATATTTAATTTATATTAAGTACTTAAAAACTTACATCATTAAAATTAACTATTTAAGGTATTTAAAACTGGTTCACATTTTGGACAGACATCCCTATTATAAAATACTTTTTTTGGAATTACACTTATTAAAGTTATTTATTTCGATTCAATTTCTTGATTAGTATCATTTTTATCAATCTCAGTTTCATCTGTGCACCCTTCTATTTCAGAAGTGTCGTTATCTTTCTCGTTATCATCTTTAATACTGATTTTTACATTTTCATTACTCGAAGTTGCTTCATGAATATTTTCTTTGATGTTTTTACTTTCGTTACCCACATTTTGTTCATTTTCATTCTGTATATTGGACTGGAAAAAGTTTGTTATGGGTTTCTGCCATGATGGAGTTTTTTGAATTGTTATTGGTGGTAATTTTGTAGAGCTTCCTAATGAGAAAAGTATTAAGACTTTAGTTCACTGTGAATTGTGAATGTAAATATAGGTCTCTCTGTATATTTACCTGCTTTAGATTTATAATTTGATGGTGTCGAGTTACGTGAAGTCGATGCAACTCCTCCAGATTTTTTAGATGATTTACCAGCGCTGACTATAAAAATAAATGATTCGTTAGCACAAATTATCCTTATTATTATATACAAATAAAATTACTCCTAATCCCAGAGGCTGCCGTTCTTCCCATTCTTGAAAGTTAGATTCTTTTTACTTGTTTTTTTTTTCTATATTACGCTTTAAAAAACAATTTTAAACTTGAAATGCCGGAAAAACGGTAAAATTTTGAATTTCGAAAAATTTTAAGGTTAAGTTGTCATATCTTCTTTTCGTGAAATATGGTTTGAATCCAACGACCTTGTTTTGTGTGTTCTATGGCCTTAAATTGTTGACAGGAATACCTACGTCACTCGTGGACCCTCAGCTAATCCATAAAAGAGCTTAAATAATAAAAAAAAATTGTAATAATATTTTTTTTACTTTAATAATTAATTATCTGTGACACAATGTTTATATTTTCTTCTTAATATAGAAGAAAAGAGAACAGCATCGTCTGGACACTCTCCGTTTACAAATCTCACCTGGGAACAAACCAAGGCTGGTATAAAAGCATGGGTGAAATCGGAGCATATACCATCCGCAGTAGATGTAGATATGCTGGGTGATCATTTGAGGCAGTTGGCTTTGGACAGAAAATTGGAAGTTTTGCAAACTGGATTTAACTTCCTCTACAGGTAAAGATACCATGGTACAAAGAATACAAGGTATGATCGATAGCGGCTCCAATTTCGTTCAGTTCGCGCATACCACCTGTGACGTCACCAGGAAAATAATGAATAAATAAAAAATAAAGAAAGTTGACAGGAGATCTGCATTTTTTGGGGTTATGGTTAAGAATTGTTTATTTTTAAGACTTTTTAGTTCGTTTAATTTAACAATTACTAAAACCAGCAGTTCCAAAAATATATTTAAAAATAATAATTATCTATTAACATGGATTTGGACGATGGGTAAGAATACTAAATTTATTTCTATATTCGGTATAAAATTGTTTATTAGGTTTTTAGTTTGCGATGTTTATGGTAAATAATTTTCATTTTCATTGCCTCTGAATTCACATGAGGACAGAGTTGAGGATATCTATGGAAAAGTAACCACAAGAGGAATTGTTACATCATTTAAAAAATATTGGGAAGTTTATTGTTTCCCATCGAAAAGTAGAAAATGCCAATGCAGATGAACGTATTGTAATTGTGATAGAAGTAATTCTAAGGGTGAAGTTTATTATAATTAGTGGAAGTAATACCAAGGGTGAAGTTTATTATAATTAGTGACCTCTGCTTCTTTTTATATGTAGATGTTTCTGGTTTTGAGAATAAATCCGTTGAACGACACCCAAAATTTAGAGGAAGTATTTGCATACCCAGAATATGCCCATCAAAGATTATATAGCTCAAATTTCCTTTAATGGTAGGCAATTATTCAATGCAAATTAACTTTTTAAGTGACTGAAATATTAAATAGTTTACAATATGGTATATCATTAAAAATATATTACTTTTAGGTACAATTAGGGCCTGATACATTTCAAAAAGTAGAATATTATTTTATATTAAATGAGGTATTGTACCAACAGTCAATTTATATTAATACCGGAGATGAAAAAATAACAGAATAAATAGTTCTTTTTTTATACTACAAAAATAAACTATAGAATACAACAGTATTTAAAAAAATAAATAAAAAGTTATGTCCCGGCCGAGATTCGAACTCCGGTCTCTCGCTTCCTAGCCCAACTCCTTACGCACTGCTCCACAGTAACTTGCTTAGCGATAATTCAATGACGGTATATAAACAAAAAAACAGGTTTATAACAATATCTTGACGATTTGAACTGGCGCGCGGAGCGTGCTGACCAATAGCGCCTGTTATCACCTGTGACGTAGCGACCAACCTGCGCAATATCATACCTTGTATTCTTTGTACCATGTAAAGATACCATAATGCAGACACTTTGATCAAAGATATGCTGCCGAAGTTTCCGGAATACAGTTCGGACCACCCTGTATATTTTTTTTATTTTCAGGACATTTTCAACATTGGATTGTGCCTGGCATCAAGCGTATTTTTCGATAGTAAACAACGTCCAGCAAGGAATGGTGGCGAGGTATGGAAAGACTTTATATTTAGTAACAGCCTTTCATTGTTGCCAAATACATTAAAATAGTACCATATGATCGAAAAAATACGGCGTCCAGTTGGCTTGGAAACGACGATCGATGACATTCCCCATATAATTTGACATGTAAAATGACAGCGATCTTCATTTCAAAACCATCGCTGACACCGTTTTTTTTTCGATCGTGTTGTATTTGATACATAAATATATTTTTGTTGCAACTAAGAAGGTGTTTGTATTTTTTTAAAATACTACTACTTAGTTTAATGCATATCTAGGACTATTAAAGCTACAATTTAAAGTTATTTATTTTTCAAAAGGTACAGAGTATCCCAGATAAATAAAAAAATATCAAAGTTGTATTTTTTTAATGGATCACCCTGTATATTATTACATTTTTAGTTCCTACGATTAAAATAAAGGTAAATTTGATAAAGGTTTACCGCACTTTAATCTTACAGTTTTTGAAATATTTACGATTTTGTGAAAATTCATTAACAATTTTAATGCTTCGTTTCTCTGGGCCTATAAGTTTTAAAACCAAATATTGTACTGAAGTTTTTCTATTTACTAAATTTTGTGTTGCGATAATAAATATAATATTAACTTATACAGAGTGCCTAAAAAGTTATATTAAATAATTACTAGCTTTAAACGGCAATAACTTGTTTAATTTAAATGGAACAACCTGTATATTTTACGTGAATCAGATGCACAATATAATTGTCTATGAAATTATATTATACCATTTTTTACCTACCTCTTTAAGATGTAACAAATTTTCAGAGTACAGATACTAATATTGTCAATATAGTAAAAAAAATAAAAAAAAACTGTTTAAATATTTATTTGTAAATGAGTACCAATTAATATTATAATAATATGTAAAATAATTGTAAAATCAAAACATTTAATAACGTGAATGTATATTTATTGGCGATAAATTATTAGTATTTTTTTAGTAGATTTATTTAAAGATTATATATTTTTTTGTTAATCTTTGATTACAACAAAATTACATAAATATTTCTACAATTTTTACAGGTACTATTCTACTTCTCTGTACAATCTTTGGCAGTTTTGCTATCTTTCTCGCCAATTTCTTTTTCCTTTTCCTTTTTTTCTTTGACAAATGTTCTTTGGTCGTGCAAGTAAGAGTGTAAATCATTAAACGAATATTGGTGGTACCTAAAACGTTAGGTATAAGTAAAGTTAGGTATACAGGGCGTCCCATACAGGGTGTTTCAAAAAACATCATCATAAAAAATAAGTCTTATTTTTAATTGAAGAATCTCTTTTCTGAAACACCCTGTATATGAAAGCAGAAGTAAAGTTAAATTTAAAGCAAACCTATAGTAGAGATTCTTTTGTCTCTCTTCTTCGAGCTCTTGACTTGGACATTGAAACGCTTGCGGTACTGCTTCCATTACATCAAAACCTTGTGATTCTGGACATTCAACTTTACTTGGACTTTGCGATTGGCATTCTTCTTGAGCTTCACCGCTCGATGTTTTTTCGCTTTCGTTTTTTGTCGTTGACGAACCTTCACAACCTGTAAGTACTAAAATTTAATAAATAGTATACTAAGTCTGTGGTTGATTTTTTGTGAAACGTTGTTGAAATATTAGTATTTTAATAAAACACGCTTTTAGATGTATCAAATTTAATGAGAGTCTATCTCTACATACAGGGTGAGTTTCCTACGATGTTCTCTATGGGTATCTCGGAAACTACTGGAGATAGAGAGTCGGTTAAATGGGGAAAGAATTGCAGTTTTGTGGGGTCAGAAATTTGCGCCTTTCAGATTTTTGAAAAAGTTCATGGCTTTTCTAGATATTTCGAAAAAAAAAACAAATTTTGGCTGTTTTAAAAATTGTTTCCAATTCCATTATAATCTATTAGTCTAAGAGCTAGCAACGTTTTCGAGAAAGTATTTGAAGACGTCTGGCTCTTTGATATATATATATCTTTTACTATGCTCTCTGGAACATCATGCATCGGAAGAAGATCCTATATTTTTATTAATTTAGTCCTATAAATTCTAGTATTGAATATAAATCGAACATGTCTCCATAGCGCAATGCGTAGAGTTTGCGACCACGAGCCGATGATTCAGAGTTCGAATCCGGGTCAGGTCAAAGACTTTAGGTCTGTTCGTTTTCCTGTTATTATCGATTCTGAATCGTCCTAGAACTCTCCAGCGCATGCGCAAATGAAATAATGTCTTCATATTTCCTTCTACGCATACGCATCACAATTCTAGGACGGTTCAGAATCGGTAATAACAAGAAAACGAAAAAAGCTTTTTTTATTTTATTTTCGTTTATATTCTGATAGTAAAGTATTAAATATTTGTTTTTTTTTAAGACCAGAATTATTCAATACTTTACTATTAGAATATAAACGAAAATAAAATAAAAAAGTCTTTGACCTGACCCGGATTCGAACTCTGAATCATCGGTTCGTGGTCGGAAACTCTACGCACTGCGCTATGGAGACATGTTCGATTTATATTCAATACTAGAATTTAAAGGACTAATAAAAATATAGGATCTTCTTTTAATGCGCAGTAGGGAACACAACGTTTACCGGCAGCCAGACGGGCCGCATGCTGTTCTAGAGAACATAGTAAAAGATGTATCAAAGAGCCAGACGTCTTAAAATACTTGTTTTTCCGACGTTGCTAGCTCTCGTACTATATTTTAGACAAAAAGTTGTAGATAATCAGATCCCTAATGAGTTTGTGTTCTCCGATTTTTTCTAAAACCTGTTATTTTTGACATATGACACAAACATATGTTTTTTTAAATGGAAACCATAGTTGGCCATGACTTCATAAAAAGCGCCATTTTTTAAGCTTTTCAGCGATATGGGTAGTGGGTTTTCAATAAATATCAAATTGTAATCTGATTGTTTTGTAATTCTAATGTCCAGAAGATTGATAATATTCTAGGGTTAATTGATTTAAGTAAGAACAATCTTCGCATTTTTACGGGGTTTATAACAGGACACTCTCTCCTCAATGAATACCTCAGTAGATTGAAGCTAAGATACAATAATTATTGTTTTAATAAAATACTAATACTAGAATTTAGTTATTTGAGGAGCAGACTTTCTAGATGCATTTTATCCATTTTCTCGAATTTTGGCAAACAAAGACGCTTGCAACACTGCCACGCTTTTTGCAAGAAACTTGCGGAAAAAAACTAGTATACTTAAAAAATGGACAACAAATAAATATTAAAAATAGTACACCTACATGTGACAAATCTAGTTATGATGATATCTGAAAAAATTGAAAAAACTGTTTATTGTCCTTTAGACGTGAAATTTCTCATTTTTCTGTTACCACTGTTGGTATCCCAACTTCGTCGTCCCCATTCATTATTTTAAGTAGTATTATTCAAAAAATAGAGAACTTGTAGTACAAAAAACTCTTCACGTGACAATGACAAACAAATAGCAGTATGTACCATTAGTGATGTTGGTAGCGAATATTTCCATTCGAATTTTGCAGGAAATTTCCGAAATATTTGGTCCCAAAATCGCGAATATTCGCAAAAATTCGAATTTTGCAAGAAATTTCTTTTCAAAATTCAAGACATTGAGCAAAAATTTGACGAAAGTGTATCAAGTATGCCGATTCTTAAGTCAGAAGAAAAATAATGCTTCTCCACCTTACAAAATAAAAAACCTATGGCTCTTGAACCAATGCATTTTACCGCGAATCTCTTGGACCCCTGTTTCCTGGAAGAGCACCTTAACAATGAAGAACACATAGCCGCTATGGAATTTATCAACAATATCACCAACAATCATCCTCCGTTTGTCAATAATAAGCCATTTTTACAGATGTAACAAATTATTGAGCCAAATCGGGTTTATGGGCTCTCGACTACGTTTGGATGTCAGTTAAAAATGTAGACTGTCTAAGTTGGTGGCAAGCAATGTGTAAAAATACTCAGTTGAAATATTCAACTGTTGCTCTGCTGTCTTTACCAACGTCATCTGCAGCCACAGAGAGAAGTTTCAGTACTTACAGTTTTATCCATACTAAAAAAAGGAATCACTTAACTGCACAAAGAGCCGGTAAAATAATGTTCGTAACTCATAACAATAAATTATTACTACAAAAACAAAAAGTGGATATGGAGCATGATATTCAACAACATGAAATTCCTCCAGAACCACTAGAACTCGTGGAGATAGAGGTCCATCCTTCAGAATCAGAACCAGATGATACATCAAATATATCTGATTTGGAAATAGAAACTGACGAAGACAGTACTACCACTGTGTACTACTGCTACTATAATACCCTATGAAGATGGGACCAGCTCGGCGCCTGATATTCCGGAATAGAATAATTCAGTTATTTGTGTTTTACGTTTTTTAAATTTATACTTCGTGCTTTTTTGTTTTTTTTTTAATTCATAGTCATAGTTCGTGGTTTATGCACAAAATACAAATGTTACATAATGATTTTTGTTATGGGTTATGTTTATGACTTTTATGGGTTATGTATTATTTATTAAAAATATACTAATATTATGTTTATTGTTTTTTTTCCACTTACATGTTGGTATCAAATGTCTATCTAATTTATTCCTTTATTGTATCGACAAAAAATATGTAAAATTGTAAAATTTACTAATATTTCATAAATTTCCGAAAGTTTCAGAAACTTCCTGCAACAATAAAACATTTCTGAAATATTAACATCACTATGTACCATAGATAAAGGAAATAAATTTAGATTGGAAAGCCCATCAAAATATATAATTGTTTAGGATGGCGACCGCTGTACGCGATCTGGCGCTGCTATAGCGATTTGCTACGAACAACCGTCAAATAATTTTCTCTTGTCAAAATCAGAATCTTCAAAAATTATAAAAGGTTTCAAAATTAAACCGCCCTCATTGAAAAATTACCGAAAAGTGTTTAAAGCGTCCATCCTCAAAGTAATTATTGCTATCTTGTGAGTTTAATTTAAATTTTACTTACTCAAACCCGTGATAATTGTGAAAAAGTAGCATTAAAAACTAAAAAACTGTGTTGTGAACTGGGAACTGCAAAAACCATCGTGGATCGTGGCATAACGTCGGTTTTCAATGTTTCATAGGTATTTCACAGACATGTCCTTATATAAAATAAAGTTTCTTGTATGCAACACGCTGTATTTTTTTATAAAATTAAAAGAAAATAATAATAAATTTGAATAAATAATATTTAGCGACATAATTCCGGAAAAAGCCGAACCGCTCCGAAATTATCAAAAGCTTTGGAGAGCGACCGTTGTAAGAATAACGCCAAATAGTATTTACATTGTCCTTATGGGCACTTTCCAATCTAAACTTCTTTCATTTATCTATGATGTCCACAGCACACAAGGACATACTTCTTTTTGTTTGTCTACCGCCAATGGACATACAACACACAGAAAGTCTAAGGTATTTTCGCTAATTTAATTCGAATTTGATAAAATGTAGTTAACACGTCGTTTCTGGCATCATATTGTAACTCTGTGTATATAGTTTGCAATGCAACCTTTGGTTGAAAATCTTAAAAAACGGACAAAATGCATTTAGTAAGTCTACTCCTCATTTAGAGTTCCGGGTAATTTTTTTGGTTTACCATTTTCATCACAACCGTCGGATTTCTCTGCCATAGTCGAGTACTTTTTGCTCTTTCCCATATCACCACCTTTTCCATCACCAAACAGTCCATCCTTATTTTTCTTCTTAATTTTACCGTCTTTGTCACCGGTTTTCTTGTTGCTACCACTAACTGATCTTGTAAGTTGCTGTAAATCGGCCACATTTTTGGGTCTAACGTTCGAAATAACTCCTTTCATATGTTGTACTTTAGGCTTCTCAATAGTTTCAGTTTCTTTTTTCTTTTTGTCAGGCTGTTTGACGTTTACAGTGTCAAATTTGTAAGGTATCACTACTTCAGTTTTTTGGACGGCTTCAGGTGGCAAGTTTGCAGTGTTGTCTTTGTTGAAATTTTCCTGGAGTTGCTTCAGCATTTCATATCTTGAATAGAAACAAAGTATACAGGGTGTGGTTATGAATTATATTCGGGAAATTGTACTGCAGATAAAAATATGTAAAAAAGTTCTTATACAGGGTCGTTCACCACATAGATTTTTACAAATTGTAAGTTTTGGATCCGTTGAAGGACTATTAGAAATACAATTTAAAAATAATTTTACAAGATACAGAGTGTCCCAAATAAGTAAAAAATATTATAGTTGTATTTTTTTTAATGGAACACCCTGTATATTATTCTTTTTTTGGATTCTACGATTGAAATAAAGGTAAATTTGATTAAGGTCTATTACACTTAAGCCTTACCGTTTTTCAAATATTTTCAATTTTATGAAATTGCAGTAAAAATTTTAAGGCTTCATTTTTCCAAGGGTATTAAAGTTTTTAATACTAAATATTTACTAAAAATTATTTATTGATCAGATATTGTGTTGCAATTATAAAAATTTTACTACCTTATACAGAGTGTCCAAAAATTTATATTAAATAATTACTAGCTTTAAACGGCAATAACTTGTTTAATTTAAATGGAACACCCTATATATTTTACGTGAATCATATGCACAATGTAATTGTCTATTAAATTGTATTATACCATTTTTTACCCATCTCTTCAAGTTTTCGTAGAAAATGGATTTTCTTATAATTTAGACCTCATTTATCACTATACCCATGGAATATTGACATTTTAGCTTATTTTTAAAGATATAACAAATTTTCAAAGGGTACAGACACTAATATTGTCGATATAGTTCGCTTATTTAATTAAAAAATAAAATAAACTGTTTAAATATTTTTTGTTAAAGAGGACCAATTAATATGATCTATTCATACTATTCAACCCAGTATTCAAACTATATTAATTGACTGTTTACGTTGATTAATAATAATTGCTCCAAATACTAAAAAACTGAATTTTGTGTGTGTATTAGACAACGTGGTAAAAAGTAACACCTTATAAATTTTATTTCATTTTTTGACGAATGCTTATTTATAAAAACAGACGTTCATTTTCATAACTTATTATTATATTGATATCTGAGCCAAATCCACATTTATTTAGAATACTTTATTAATTAAAACAATTTAAAAGTATGTAATTAACTAATTTTTGGTGTTTTTGGTCGGAAATAATGGTGGTATATTTAATTGGTATACTCTTTTACAAAGATTTAAATAGTTTTTTTTGTATGCCAATGGGCTTGCAATATTTACCACCGGTACATTTTGTACATATTATATGGTGCTATAAAAAACCTGAAATGTCAATATTCCATGGGTATAGTGATAAATGAGGTCTAAATTATAATAAAATGCATTTTCTACGAAAACTTGAAGAGATGGGTAAAAATGGTATAATACAATTTGATAGACAATTACATTGTGCATCTGATTCACGTAAAATATATAGGGTGTTCCATTTAAATTAAGCAAGTTATTGCCGTTTAAAGCTAGTAATAATTTAATATAAATTTTGGACACTCTGTATAAAGTAGTAAAATTTTTATTATTGCAACACAATATCTGATCAATAAATAATATTCAGTAAATATTTAGTATAAAACTTTGATACCCTTGGAGAAATGAAGCCTTAAAATTTTTACTGCAATTTCATAAAATTGAAAATATTTCAAAAACGTTAAGGCATAAGTGTAATAAACCTTAATAAAATTTACCTTTATTTCAATCGTAGAATCCAAAAATAGAATAATATAAGGGTGTTCCGTTTAAAAAAATACAACTATAATTTTTTGGCTTATTTGGGACACTCTGTATATTGTAAAATATTTTTAAATTGTAGCTCTAATAGTCCTTCAACGAACCCAAAACTTACAATTTGTAAAAATCTAATCGTTTAGCTACAATATTCAGTGTCGTATGTGGTGAACAACCCTATATATAGTTCAGTATGATACGAACTTTATCTGTGACATACGTTTTTTTTTAAATTTATTTTACCTCATTTGTATGATCTTATTTCTGTCTTCTTTACTGACTCCTCGAGGTACGTATCGCTTCTTTTTCACAACTGCCGGCAGAAATTTTTCATCCTTCTTGACAGGCCGTTTGACAGTCATGAAGCTTATCTTCAGATGAGAATATTTTGCCAGCGCTTTATTGGTACTTTTCTTGTTCTTCTCAGCGTTGAATTCTTTCGGCACTGTTTTTATTTCGTCACCAACAGGCTTCTTCAATATACTTGAATATTCTTCTAGCGACTGTTCGAATGTTTGCTTGGGGAGTTTCTTTAGAGGCAAAATAATCTTGGCACATTTTGGTGGCTTGGTGTTGTTAAGATTCTTAGACGTTTCCGCAACGTCAAGTTTTTTTGTTAAGGTTAAGTTTTGTCCTTTTCGGTGATCATCTATTGTTGATTATACGTATATTATGATTTTAATTTTTTTGCTAAAATAGATAACAGAAAAAAATAAGAGGAATGTATTACGTACCATCTTGTTCTTTACCCAAGTTTCTTTTGATTTTGTTAGCGTTCTTTTCCCTGATAGATTCTTCTAGACGTTGAGCTCGAGTTTTGTGTTCGACTTCTAACAGATTTTGATCGTCTAAACTGTAGTCTGTGACTTTGGAACACTTCAAACTTACATCGTAATCATGTTTCAACTGGTTGTCCTCTTCTTGCTTCATTGTATCTGCCATAATGTTAGCTATTTTCTTGATTTTATGGTTCAAAACTGCTTGGTCGACTTTGAACGATTCATTCTTTTCTTTTTGCTCTTTCCATCTGAGGTATTCGGATTTGGACATGAGCGTGTCATCGAAGGAATCATTCTTGGTCTCCTCGGTCGGCGTCCCTACAAATAAAAGGTCAGATTTAGAATTCCTTATGGTTTGTCTTCAGCGAGAACTACGTGATTTTATTTCAACGCCCCAATCGGTATTTCCAATACTGGGAGCGACAATTTTAGCGTCTTGTTCGTACTTTTTTTGTTTTTTCTTCCCTTTCAGCATTTCTTCGTATCGTTTCTTCTTTTCTTGCTCTAGAAGGTATTGGGCGGCTGAATTTATTTCTTCAACCTGAAAAAAAAATAGTGAGACGTTTATTTTCGTAGTTTTTGAAGCGAAACTTGTTTAGGCGCGCTGGGGGTCAAAATTCAAGGCCGTGACACACGAGCGCGAGACGAAAAGTGGTAAGAAACACATAGTGATAAAACGATAATAGGTAAAAAAATTCTGATAAATGTATATCCTAAAATGCTTAGTTTCGGAGATACAGGGTGTACAAGTTTCATTTTTATTTTGATTTTTTCCAAATACTTTATGAAGTAAAATCATGGTGTCTGGGAATTTTTTGACATGAGAAATTTGATTTTGATGTCAATATGACTCCTACTTGTAGGGGGCGCCACCGACATATTATTTAACTGGTTTGAAGAGTAATAACTTTTCGTCCGTACCTGTATAAAAGTAATGAGTAAAAAAATATGCATTTATGATATTTTTACGTAAGAAATGTATTTTGGTAAAAATCTCTACGAGTAATGGTTCTCGAGATATTTGGAATCGAAATTATCAATACCTGTCATCATTGATATAAATTAAACATGTTAACCAAATAGTGTTATTAGACTGATATCGTAAATTTGAAATGTTTTTGTGCCAAAAGTTCAACAGAAACTGTTTTATCATCACTTTTTAGCAGAAAAATTTATGATAATTTAAAAAAATAAAAATTTAACAATTTTATTTATTGATAAATTAAATGGATTATTTAAGTAAAATTTCTTACAAATTTGGCACTGGCGAACCATATTTTATAGTTCTTGAACAGAAAAAGTAAACAAAATAAACATTTAAGGACTACAAGCTAAGAAAATGCGTTAATACAGCCGGGGACATAGCGGCAACAAAGCTTTACCGCACACGTGCGACACGTACTACAAGGTACGTAATAAATGAATGAATAGGCGACCTCGCCTCTAATCGGTGTTGCCATATTGTAAAGAACTTATCTTTTTAAATAGTATCCGACTTATTATTTAGTAGTATAAGGACTATTTAATTCCTTATTCATTTTTGAATCCGTTTGCTTAATCCGCAAGCACATATTCTCTATTCCGGAAAGGCCTTCTCACAACTATCCACTTAGGAATGCGGAGCACGATATTTATCTGCCAACCCCGAGCTCAGAACTAGTTAAGGGCTCAATACTGTACAATGCCAGGAAAATGTACAATCATTTGCCTTCGAATATCAAGTCACTTTCATTCTTTCCCGCATTTTGCAAAGCTCTGAAATTATACTTACTGGAGAGAGCCCTATATGCGGTAAACGACTTTTTTGTTGATATTTAATCATGGACAATTTTGAATTTTAAAATTTTGATCATCTCACACACTGGTTAAAGGTCTAGTATTTAATATTTTATAACTCTTGATTTTATAATATATAACATTATTTTATCCATTTACAATTTTCCTTTTGTAAAATTTTCTAGATACGCCTGTGTTCTGCAATGTCCATATATGTTTTATTTGTAATTTTATGACGTAAATTTTTTTTTGAATTGATTTGTATTGTATGACATTTTTACTTGTTTATTTGTATATTTGTTTTTGTGCTTTTTTGTTTTGCTTTGTCGATGAAGCTGTTTTGGCTTTTTGTACAATAAAGCGTTGTGTTTTTTTTTTGTTAATACATCTATGGAATATTAAGACCTACTTTATTAAAATGTAGTATTAATATCTCAATATATGTGTATAACAAGAAAAAAAATATTGATAATATTAAAGACGTGACAACATAGGCTGGATGAGGAAGGCTCGGTCGACTGTACCCAGAAATAAACATGTTTACAAAAAAGATTGTTTAACCGCGTTTAGATGTAAATAGTGTAGTCCATAGACTTAAAATAAAATATAGACTGAGCATCTCATTCATAAATAGCTGGAACATGCGGTCAGACACTGTCATGTTATTGTTGTGTTATTGTTTTAGGTTATAACGAGTGCGACACGAGCGATAGATAGGTTGTCTCTGTCGTAACGGTCGTTCCCTGACGACTCTGCCGAGAAACACAACACTGTCTTTCGTTTCTCAAGTACACCTGAACTCTCCGTATCATAGCGGGGTAATTTTTTTATTTTAATGAAGCTATAATTAAATTAAAAATATATCGTATTTAAACTTTTTTATATTTTATTAAGATTTAGGACAGGTTTTTTAAATAAAAGTTTAGAAAAAACGTCTTAGAGTCCAAAAAGGATAAAAATAATAAAATACACGTTATAGAAGAAATTTTATAATCGAAATTACGTAATTTTTGAAATTAATAATAAATTATTAATTTTAGTCAAACTCATTTCAGTCAAACATTTACAACCCCTAATATTAATCAAAACAGGATCTATTCCACAGATATAATAGAATCGGCGAAAGGGAGAGAAAAAAAAATATGATTGTTGTAATTTTTTTTCTGGTTAAGTGATGTCTTATGTAAATTAGAGAAAACATAGATCTGTTCCATTAAAGCAAGGAAGGTGATAGGAAGTAGATAAAATGAAAACTACATTTATTTAACTCGGTACTGTCTTTATTATACCGGGTGCGTCCCAAAAGTGGCTCATCCCCTATAATTTTTTTATATTTTCAAATAAAAAAACAAAATTTAGTATGTTAGTACATGACATAAATTAGGATTGATTGACGCATTTAATTGTTTTTGGTCACTTCCTGTTTCACCGGAAATGACTATAACTTTTAATTTTTAAACGGCACCCTTGGTATATTTCTACTTTATTCTATAGAAAATGGCACTCTGAATAGAATGACACATCATATGTGTCAACTTTTGACATTCTCGCATATGGTTTATTGTAATTGTAACACGCGGTTCATAACGACAATTTGACTCGAAATACCAAGTGTGTGGTATCAATATATTCATAAAAAAATGCTTTTTCCAAATATGCTAATGAGTCACCCTTGTTCCATTTGAAAAAATTGACATATGTATGATTAAAAATACGATTTGTACATCTTTTAACCGGCCTAGACAAGACACGAAACCCATTAGACGATCAAAACTATTTTTCCAAGGCTCCTTGATTAAAACTTAGTGTTTTTAACAATACCATGGCACCCTGGATTGAAATTTAAAATAGGATTTGTTTTTAAGTGAAAATGTCAAAAGTTGACATATGATATGTCATTCTATTCAGAGTATCATTTTTTATCGAATAAAGTAGCAATATACCGAGGGTGCCTTTAAAAATCAAAAGATGTAATCATTTCGGTGAAACAGGAAGAGACCAAAAACAATTGAATACGTCAATAAATCCTAATTTATGTCATATACCTACTAACATACAAATCTGTTTTTTTTATCTAAAAAATAAAAAGTTAAGGGGTGAGCCACTTTTGAGACGACCCGGTATATTAAAAAATATTGTTTCATAATGTAATATCATTTTAAAATTCTTGTATGTTATTTTAGATTCTGAAGATAATTTTAGAATAAACCGGAATATATTTTTAATAAAAACATTATTAATTATTAACAGGGTTATAATTATGATTTTGTTACAATGTAAGTAAGTAAATAATGTAATGTAAGAGAAAAAATTCAGATTTTACATTTTACTAAAATATTATCTAAATAAGCGCCTTTCTACAACAACGCCACTGACTCCCAATGGGTAAATTGAGAGTTGCCTACCGGTCAAAAGTCGTTTCAAGACTTAAATGGATTATTTAAGTCAAATTTCTTGCAAATTTGGCACTGGCGAACCATATTTTATAGTTCTTGAACAGAAAAAGTCAATAAAATAAACACTTAAGCACTACAAGCTAAGAAAATGCGTTAATACAGCCGGGGAGATAGCGGCAACAAAGCTTTACCGCACACGTGCGACACGTACTACAAGGTAATAAATGAATGAATAGGCTCCCTCGCCTCTAATCGGTGTTGTCATATTGTAAAGAACTTATCCTTTTTAAACAGTATCCGACTTATAATTTAGTAGTATAAGGACTATTTAATACATCTCTGGAATATTAAAACCTACTTTATTAAACTGTAGTATTAATATCTCAATATATGTGTATAACAAGAAAAAAAATGTTGATAATATTAAAGACGTGACAACATAGGCTGGATGAGGAAGGCTCGGTCGACTGTACCCAGAAGTAAACATGTGTACAAAAAATATTGTCTGTCCGCGTTGAGATGTAAATAGTGTAGTCTATATTTTATTTTAAGTCTATGGTGTAGTCTATATTTTATTTTAAGTCTATGGTTAAAACACATGTGGGTGGCGCCCCCTACAAACAGGAGCCATATTGACACCAAAATCAAATTTCTCATATCAAAAAACTCCCAGACACCAATTTTCATCCAAATAATGACGTTACTTTACAAATTATTTGAAAAAGATCAAAATAAAAATAAAACTTCTACACCCTGTATCTCTCTTACTTATTTTAATCTGCAGAATATGCTGCCGAAGTTTCCGGAATACAGTTCGGACCACCCTGTATATATATATTTAAATGGAAAACTTTGAATGTTCACCGACACCTTTTTAAATTGAGCTAAAAATCCTGCCTTCCGGGGATATTTTTTTCTCGGTTATTAGATTCATTTTAACCCATAAATTCCATAGGTTAGTTTTTTTGGCTCACCCTACTATACAGATTGTTAACTGGACAGTTACTTATAAGGGAACAGAATGGCAACACTGCCTATTGAGAACGCGTGCACTTATAGGGTTTTCTGTCGACTCGTCCCGTCGCGTCGTCTATCGACGAGCGGACCGAGGTTGCCATATTTCAACCATAAAGCTCTTGCCGCGAGTAATAGACAAATTAACAACCTGTATATAAGTCTCATACCTCATCCTTCTTTGTTTTCTTCTTGAGCAATGTAGATGTCGACGCCTTTTTGCTTTTGGTCTTCATATCTTCTAAAGCTTGTATTACCGGATCTCGTGCCTGAACATCAGCTGCAGCACGATTGTATTTCGTTTTCTGATTTTCAATGTAATTTAATTTTAAAACAATGGATTCTTTCTTAATTTCAGAACTAGGAACTTGTTTGTTCGTTGCTTGCTGTTTTTCCACTTCAGTTGATTTTAAAGCAGGTGATTCTTTTTTAATTTCGGAAGTAGAAACTTCTTTGTTCATCGTTTGCTGTTTTTCCACTTCACTTGATTTTAAAGCAGTTGATTCTTTTTTAATTCCGGAACTAGAAACTTCTTTGCTCTTTGTTTGCTGCTTTTCCACTTCACTTGGTTTTAAAACGGCGGCTTCTTGTTGGTCGATTTTGGCTAAATAAATATATTTACTTTAGCGAAAACTGTTGTACAAAATTTATCACACAATTCGTTTATTAATTATTTCTCTAATTTTCATTTCTTGGGGATCTTATTTAGATAATAATTTGTGTAAACTTTTAGTGAACGAATTGTGTGAAAAACCCTTTAAGTATAGTTTTGTTAACTTACCTTTTTCTGTGGCTTCCGCAGGCGCAGTTTCTTTAGGAAGCTCGCCATCTTTCTGTGGAACATCGTTCACATTTGACTCGGTTTTGGGTTTGAAGAATCCAAATTTAATCAAGTTCTCCTCAACGTTCTTTATATTCTTCTCTAATATCTCCGATCTGGGGGACTCTTTATCACTGTTCGCAGTCAATTTTTTATTGGTTTGATCCTCTTCGGGCTTATCAAGTTTTTCCACGACTTGCACTTTCTTAATCTGACTTCTAGCAACCGATTTGGTGTTTTCAGATTTAGGTTTAGCATCACTTTTTGCTTCCAGAGTAGGTTTGAGAGTGGAGCCTTCTTTGATTTTCTCATTTGGTGTGTCTTCCTGCAAATTTTCAAGTTTTGTACATTTCATTTGTATTTCATAATTTTTAGACTGTTTTTCATGAGGCCATGCAACTATCCTTTTTTTAGTGGTCTCTTTAGAATCTTCCTTTTTCCTTTTTGCGACTTCTTTAATATGAGATTTAAAACTGCCATCAGCTTTAGTTAAATTGAAATCATCTTTTTTCGAACACTTTAACTGAATTTCGTATTTACTTTTACGTTGTATATTACTAATATCCTCACTTGTTGCTTTCCCTTTACCTAATTCTGATGTATTCACTGTGTCTGGGTCTTTTGGTGAAGGTTTTTTTGATAGGTCTTCTTTGTTCTTTGGTTGAACTATATCTGTCTTCTTGCTATGTGCTTTGTCAGTATTTGTAATAGGACTGGTTGATTTTCCTGTTTTACTCTCTAGCGTTAAACCCTTTTCGTTATCAGGTTTCTGAAATACTTTTTGGACTTCTTTGATCAACAATTCGCCTATTTCTTCAACAGGTTTTTTTGGCTCGTCCTTTTTTGTACCGGGGGTATTTGAGAAGTTATTTAAAACTTTTTTATCCGTGGAACTTGAATTTGTGCTAATATTTTTCCTAGATTTTTGCAAGTCAGGTTTCAAGCCGTCTACAAATAAAAATAAACATTTTTTTGGAAAAAATATTACAATATTATCAAAAAAAATTAAGTGAAAGTTACATTTTAATATATCGAATAGTTTTCGAGATAAAAAATAAAACATGCGTAAAATTAGCAAAAATATGATTTTGAATAAGCATTGGTTAAATCATAAATTGAGTAGATTGAAAGCTGAAATTTGGTAGAAACAGATCGAATATATCGACTTTCGTTAACTTATAACTCAAATTTCAACTGTAAAAATGTTTGAATTTCGTGAATTATATAAAGATCAAGTTTTTGTCAATTTTGTACATGTTTTATTTTTTATTTCAAAAACTATTAGAGATAAGTATAGGGTAGTAAAATAGAAAAATTTTGAAATGTAAAAATAATATACCGGGGTTACAAAGATGCTATCACTTTTCAAATGATGCGGCAACATTGTAATGATGAAAATATTTTAGATATGTGGAACCGGTGCCTCTATGTTAAAATACAAATTTTCAAAAAAAATTCTATCGACGGTTCTCCATAATCGTCTAACGTACACCATCGTCGTGAATCACCCTGTATACTATCTAATTTCATCCTTGGTCGCAGGGTGTAACAAAAAAAGGTTACACAAAAGAGATTTGGCGCCCAACGTGGGGCAATATTGCATTGAAAGTTTAATAGTGTCAATTTTTTAAATACATTTTTAACAAACTTTTTCAATTTGAACAAACTTGTGATTCTTTGATTTTATTTATGTATTTTTTAGACATCACACGAAAAAAAAAAGTGTGAAGTTTAGTTACGGTATGTCTGATTCATCCTTGGTCCTTAAAATTGGACGCTTGGCTTCATATACAAGAAGAAAAATTTTAAAAAAATGTGTATAATTGGTTAGTAATTAGTTTTTTAATGAACATTATGATTTTGGCGCCCAACGTGGGACGTATTTCTTTATGTGATATCAAAATGAGGAATGACGGTACGAACAATTAAAACACAAACATGGTTCCTGCACTTACTTTCGAAAAACTGTTTTTTGATCTTGATGAAATTGCGTCCGTTCAGATCGCAAAAGATCGGGCTGGGTTTGATCGATCGTGGTTCGTCGTTGGCCACTAGTTTCCGGTTGAACCGTCTGAACTTCTGGTCGCGGCGGATCTTTTGCGACGAGTCTTTGTCGTAGATCATGACGATCTCCGCCCGGAGCCTGGCAGGCATCTCGTAGCGCGCCCTCTGCCGGCTGACGTAACTCACTTCGGTGTCTTCGAAGGGGTCGGCGAAGTTCTTTAGGCTGAGATGCGCGCGGGAAGTGGCACCTTACAATGTATTTATGTACAGTGGCTTTATTAGAGACAGTGGCGGCGATAATGCGATAGAGTTTCAAGTTTCAGCGTCATGGTATTATTGGCCTATTTTCTGTTCTAATCTGTATAACAGTATTAATGGCCGTTTGCGCCAAAATAGGCTTGGTGCATTTTCCGCCGGTGCTGCCACCATCGGAGAATATCGTAAACAACTAGTATATACAAATATTTACGAAAAAAAATTATATAATTATTCTAAAAGTGTTAGGAAGTATAATTTGTGAAAATTATAAAAATAAAAAGTAAATAAAATAAATCTTCAGAAGGTCTAACTTGTATTATAATTTATTATTTCAGCTAAAAAAACTTTTTAGATCAGTTCAACTACGGTAGCGTGCATAGTTATGTCCGGTTTTTTAAGTGGGGTCATAATTGGGGATATTTCGGCTATAACGAATTTTTTAAAAGGTATGTTCATAAAACATTTAATGATTAGTTGATTAAAAATGTATACCATTAATATTGCAAACTATATTTTATCCTCTCATAGTATATGTCTATTTAATTTTTTGATTATGTAACGAGCACTTTGTTTACTCACTTGTTTCGTCGAACTGCTTGAATCCGTTTTTGCTTTTGATCAAATCGGTGTAAAAAACTATGAAGCTATAAAATGTTGTTTCGGGACAGTTGAATATCCGGGAAAGTTGAATTATTGAATGTTATTGCACCCAACAACGCCCTAATTACGCCCTCCTTTACGCGTTAAAATTTTCTCGGCAATTTGATTAACTTTTGAAATTGTCACAAGACAACACGACACCTAGTTCGGATTCTTTTTCACTTATTTTTTACTACCCGAAACAGCGTTACATCACACAAACCTCGTACCTGAGTGTTTTATAGTCTCAATAACTGCACTAGCAAAAAACTAAAATACTTAAATATTATGACAAAGCGACGATTTTAATATTATTTTAATGCGATCAACATGAACTGTAACCGGGACGGCGTGAGATACATACCGAGAATTTCTGATTTCTGCCGTATACAGCGCCGCGCTTGGAATTTTTTGAAATCAACTGAAATGCACCAAGCCTATAGTCTTTAAGTAATCACTGATTATATTTTTGTTAAATTTGCACCTTGAATAAAAAGATTAAGGCAGGAGCATATCAAAATCTTAGCCCAAACGCGATGGGGTCCTATAATGGCCGCCTTAAATTCAGGTTTATCAGTGCCGATCAAATGTTATTCAAAACGTCTAAAAATATAATGTAGGGTAGTCTCAATAATTTTTTGTTTTATTTTACGTTGGCAATAAATATTTGTAGTTATTAAAATTGTTACAAAAATATATAATTCTAATAAAAATAGATAAGTTATAATAATTATTAAGTTAATCGTAGATCGTAGCGCCTATAACAGTTACTTAGCGGGAGTTTTTTTGTCAATCTTGTGGTAATAACGATTGACGCAATGATCTGGAATGATTAAGACTAATCGATTAGACAGTTGTTTGTTGTTGTCAGGCGGGCGTTCAAAACATAATTTATTTAAAAAAAATTGACCACTTCTTTAAAAGCCACTGTAATTTTATAATATAAGTAAGCCAACGACAGGAAACTATGAAACGTAAAACTCTATAGTACAAAATTAAAACACAAATGAAAACATATATTATGGTATTTTTCTAGTCCCTGTCATCATTGTTATAATAATAACTACTAATATAAAGTGTACTATAGCAGAATTTTATGCCGAATCCAATTGTGGAGTGCAAATGAAGATTTCAATTTAAAAAAAAACTTACAACTTTATCGTTACTTCTTTTGGGACACACTGTATAAAACAAAATATTTTTAGGATATGCATCTTTATAAACAATGCATATTTACGGAAAACTTTTTTTATATCCGTTAAAAACGACAATGTTACACATCCTCGCAACAATGGGCCACCCTGTATATTAATTTTGATCGAAAATACATAATCAAACGTATAGATCATACCAAATAAACTTTTAGTGACGTGTTAAGCTGGACCGGCACAGCGTTGCCTACTTTGACATATTTTCCTTTAATTCCTTTATTTTTTTAGTTAAAAAAACGATATTTGGTATGTTAGTATATGACATAAATTAGTATTGATTGACGTATTCAATTGTTTTCGATCACTTCCGGTTTCACCGGAAATGACTACAACTTTTGATTTTTAAATGGCACCCCGGTATTTTTTTACTTTATTTGATAGAGAATGTCACTCTGAATAGAATGACATATCATATGTCAACTTTTGACATTTTCGCATATGGTTTATTTAAAATTATAACTTGCGGTTCGTAACGAAAATTTGACTTGAAATACCAAGTGTGTGGTATCAAATTATTCGTAAAAAAATGCTTTTTCCAAATATGCTAATGAGCCACCCTCGTTCCATTTGAAAAAATTGAGATATGATTAAAAATACGATTTCAACATTTTCTAATAACTGGCCAGGACAAGACACTAAAAACATTAGACGATCAAATATATTTTTCCAAGGCTCCTTGATTAAGAATTAGTGTTTATAACATAGCCATCGCACTCTGGATTGAATTTTAAAATACAATTTTTTATTAAGCGAAAATGTCAAAAGTTGACATATCATATGTAATTCTATTCAGAATGTCATTGTCTATCGAATAAAGTAAAAAAATACCGTGGGCGCCATTTAAAAATCAAAAGTTGTACTCATTTCCGGTGAAACAGGAAGTGACCAAAAACAATTGAATACATCAATCAATCCTAATTTATGTCATATGCTAACATATCAAATCTTGTTTTTTATCTGAATAAATAAAAAAGTTATAGGGGGTGAGCCACTTTTGAGACGCACCCGGTATATAAACAGTTATTGTTTACATCAACAAAACTCACCTCCTTGACAGCACTTAAGGGGCATAAAGGGTCATTACTACCGCTTTCACGTTCAAAATATTCTAATAAGGTTACGATGAGTTTTTTGCAACAGCTATTAAGCTATCTTGTACACTTTGCACTAAAAGAGGTTCTAAAAAGAGTGTAGTAGAAAATTTTGTGTGCTAGTAAAAATTTTAAAGCTTAAATTATCACAACACAATTTTTTTAAACCAAAAACTCTGTGTCAAAACGAATCGAAATGTCAGGAAAAAAATAAATAAATGTGGCAACTTAGCATTTTTTACAGCAGAGCTACCAACTGAATCCCCAGCGGGAAATTTAAATTCCAGTTAGTCAGCCCGGCACTGAATATTTTCATGGTTGGCAACAATGAGTGACATAAAAGTTTATTTGGTATCACTTATACTGTGTGGAAATATGTAAAGTTTTTCTTTTTTTATTGCTGAATAAATTGGTATATTTATGATCAGGACACAGATTCTCAAGACCATTCCCTAGTAGCCATCAATTACTATGATTAACTAACTACGTTGTATTACTTATATTATAAATAAATACAATGTACCTGGTGGAGATTTAGTTTGCATTTCTGCCGGTTCCGAATCTTGTTTCTTGTAAAAATATTTCTTCTCCGACTTTGATCTGATTTCCTCCTTTGGTTTCTTCTCGTCGATTACGGCTTTCTGAATCACTACAGATTCGCTGTCTGGCAGAATTTGAAAGACTGCTTTTCTAGGACTTTCCTCGATGGTTTTATTCTTTGCCTGTTCCAGTTTCTCGGGTGCATAATTCGGGTTTGATCGTTTGTGAAAGTGTCTGTCGCCCAGTGTGCCTAGTGACATCGTTGATGTGTCTAAAGAAGTTCTTTTATGAGTCTAAAAGTAACTGTCCACTCCGTTGTGTTCCGTTATAGGCTTGGTGCATTCTCCGCCGGTGCTGCCACCATCAGGGAATATCGTAAACCACTCGTACTTACAAATAGACGGGTTTAAATAGCAGGAACACGAAAAATTTATTATTTAACTAACGTGTACCAGCGACTTCGTTCGCGTCGAATTAATCATTTGTAATGGTGATGATAAAGCAAAGCAAGAATTTCCATTAACATACAAACTGGATAAAATTTTCTCACATTTATGTCAGCATGAGAAAAAACAATATGGCGATATTATTATATAACTTAGTAATATTTGAGGGGTAGTTTCATCTCGTTGGAATTAGACTTTCGAAAAGTCCGTTTGCCAAAAATAAGCTTTTTACGTCAAGCAGTTTAAGCAAAATCGTGGTTAAGAAATTACCCAACTTTTTGGAACACCCTGTAAGATTTTTTTAAAAATTTCAAAATATGTAGAAAAAACAAATAGATTATGCTTGTCCAAGCGTTTTCCCGAAAGACTAACCGTTTTTTAAATAACAAATATTGTAATATTTGAGGGGCGTTTTCACCCTATTGGAATTTGACATTCGAGAAACCCCTCCATATCGAACCTCTACACCCCACAGCCAATCCGTTTGCCAAAAATCAGCTTTAAACGTCAAGCAGTTTAAGCAAAATCGTGATTACTCAATGGTCATATTTTATGAAACACCCTGTATAAATTTATAAAAAATCTTATAATATGTAAAACAACAAAATAAAATATACGTGTTTAAGAGTTTTTCCGAAAAACTCACCGGTTTTTAAATAAAAAATATTTTAATATTTGAGGGATAGTTTCACCCCTTAGAATTCGAGTTTCGAAAAATCCCTTCTTATCGAACCTCTACACCCTAAAGTCAATCTGTTTTCCAAAAATCAGCTTTTTAAGTCAAGCGCTTTAAGCAGGATCGTGATTAATCAATGACCAGATTTTTCGAAACAGCCTGTATACATTTTTTAAAAATCTTAAAATTTGTAAAAAGACAAAATAACATATAAGTGTTTAAGCGTTTTTTCGGAAACTTGACCGTTTTTTAAATAAAAAATATTGTAATATTTGAGGGGTGGTTTCACCCTCTTGGAACTGGAATTTCGAAAAATCCCTTCTTATCGAACCTCTACACCCTAGAATCAACCTGTATGCCAAAATTGAGCTTCTTACGTTGAGTGGTTTGAGCAGGATCGTGATTAATCAGTATGTCAGTCTCTAGGTCTGTTCGTTTTCCTGTTATCGATTCTGAATCGTCCTAGAACTCTCCAGCGCATGCGCAAATGAAATAATGTCTTCATATTTCCTTCTGCGCATACTCATTACAATTCTAGGACGGTTCAGAATCGGTAATAACAGGAAAACGAAAAAAGCTACCTAAGGATTTTATATATTAGTATAGATTATTCTAAAAGTGCTAGGAAATATTTTGTAAAAATTCTAAAAATAAAAATAAAAAACACACAAATCGGTGTGAGAAACTATGAAGCTATAAAATGTTGTTTCGGGAGAGTTGAATGTCCGGAAAAGCTGAATTACTGAATGTTATTGCAGCCAACAACGCCTTAATTACGCTCTCCTTTACGCGTTAACATTTTTTCGGCAATTTTATTAACATTTGAAATTATCACAACACGACGCCTAGTTCGAATTCTTTTTCGCTTATTTTTTACTACCCGAAACAGCGTAACATCACACAAACCTAGTACCTGAGTGTTTTATAGTCTCGATAACTGCACTAACAAAAAACTAAAATATGTACTTAAATATTATGACAAAACCACGATTTCAATATTATTTTAATGCGATCAACATGACAGGTTGAAGCGCTGCGGTCGGAATTTGTTGAAATCAACCGAAATGCACCAAGTCTATAACGGAAAAAGTTACAAGAGAACAACCATACCTGCTTTAGGCTTTTGTGGTATTTTTTTCTCCTTAATAGGACCAGATCCCGAGGGTGATTTGACAGTCTCATTTTCCAATTTGCCCCACAGCTTAAATTCACCGGAACAACTGGATATGACCTTGGTCTCTTTCGAGTTACCCGACGCGGTAGATATTTCGATTTTGGGTAGGGTGACATTGAGCACCAGCATCGGATGGTCTTGTTTCAAGTTCTTGTTGCATACCGCATCATCTTTATCTGTAAAAGATCAGTCATTTGTGTTAAACTTGATTACTTTAATCAGAAAGGTTTATATGCGATTGATGATTGAGATGAATGCCTTTCAAGTAGTGTTGTAATAGAGAGAAAAAAAGACTAGGCATATTATAAAACGCCGGCGTTTTTAACAAAAGAATGATATTTTACAAAGGGCCTATCCCTATTTTCAGTCGTTTTGCAAAATGCCTAATGAAAACTAGTCACATTACACAAAACATTTTACGCGGGATTGGTATAACTAACCTAAATTTGTCCAACGACATTTCTGGAACTTCTCTTTCAAAATTTGGAAATAATGACTCAAAAAGTGATAATTCTGTTAAATAGAGTATGGTTGAGGATGATTATTATAAAGATCTAAATTCATTTTACTCTAAAAGGAAGCAAATTTCCACAAAGAAGCAGCCCTGTACAACTGTACACAGAATCGAATTACAGAGTATAATAATTAAATGAGATATTAGTATTAAGGTTTTAATATATTTTGTATTTAAAATAATGTTATTTATAATTAAAATTTATGAAATAGGATTCAAGTTGTTTTCGTCTAAACATAATAAAATTTTGATATAAATAATTATTGTTTTTGTATAGGAAAATATGGGGTATTTTTACTAAAGCGTAAATTATTCAATATGCTTATGCTCATAGCTGACTAAACTTTGATCATTTTTTAATCTGCCTGGCCTCGATTCTCGATTTGACATTTTGTAAAATGACTGAAAACAGGCAGTCTTTTTGCAGAAGAGTACAGAAAATATCATCATTTTCAAAGTGACTGAAAATAGCTAGGCTTATTTTAAAAATTCCTTCTTGTGTGTAAACAGACGGATTATTCTATAAGCCTGCGACATATATGTTTTCAAATAACCTACTCTATAAGCGATACCAATTAAACTTTTAGTTGCGTAATCGAGGGCGCGATTTTTAAATTCATTGTTGCCAACCATGAAAATATTCAGTGCCGGGCTGACTAACTGGAATTTAAGTTTCCCGCTGGGGATTCAGGTGGTAGCTCGTGACTAAAAGTTTATTTGGTATTACCAATCTATAGTTTCTTGCCTTTTAACGGTTCCTTTTTCATTGGACCGGGAGGTTTGTTATTTCCAGGAGGTACAGATCCAGAAATGTAATTAAGAGTTCCTCTACTGCCCAGTTGTAATTTTCCCTGTTTGTACAAATTCTTTGTTCCAGAGGAGTAGTTCACTGCACCTGCAAAATTATCACGTAATGTGGATAATAATGACTAAAGAATACTAGAACTTGAACAAAATCTGTGCCAAACAGTAAGCAGTAAATTAATTTTTTAAATTCCCCAATTTGGTAAACACCTGGTATAAATTGCAGATTTTATTTAAACGGCACGGTACTGACCAAATAGCTTTGTAGAGATGGGCATTACAATTCTTTTTAGTGAATTCAATTTCTCATATTGAATCGACTCCTACGATTAGTTCATTTGAACTACCGGCGATAATTTGGTCGGACAATTACTTAAGGAGCCAGAAAAAGAAATATACACTTCTTTCGTGTGTTTTTCAACACTTTATAGCACTGGCGTAATTGGATTGATTATTTTACCAATAATATTAAATTATCAATCCAATTCATATACAGGGTGGTCCGAATTGTATTCCGGAAACTTCGGCAGCATATTTGCAGATAAAAATAAGTAAAAAAGTTCGTATAAATGTATGTCCTAAAATGCTTAGTTTCGGAAATACAGGGTGTAGAAGTTTCATTTTTATTTCAATTTTTTCCCAATAATTTCTGAAGTAACGTCAATATTTGGATGAAAATTGGTGTTTGGTAGTTTTTTGACATGAGAAATTTGATTTTGATGTCAATATGACTCCTACTAGTAGAGGGCGCTACCTACATATTTTTTGACTGGTTTGAAGAGTAATAACTTTTCGTCCTTACCTGTATAAAACTACTGAGTAAAAAAATATACATTTTCGACGTTTTTTACGTAAAAAATGTCTCTTGGTAAAAATCGCTACGAGTATTGGTTTTCGAGATATTTGGAATCGAAATTATCAATACCTATCATCATTGACATAAATTAAACATGATGACCAAATAGTTATTAGACTGAGATCATAAATTTGAAAGTTTTTGTGCCAAAAGTTCAACAGAAACTGTTTTAGCATCATTTTTTTGCAGAAAGATTTATGATTAATTTAAAAAAATAAAAATTTCCCAAATTTATTATTTCAGTGAAATAACTATTTACTCATGGGTTATTTTTTCGTCAATAATGGCATGTATTGACTGTTTCCATTCTAAATATCTTGAGAACGGTTACTCGTAGCGATTTTTACAAAGAGATATTTTTTACGTAAATAATTACAGAGATGTATATTTTTCCCCTCGGTAGTTTTATACAGGTACAGACAAAAAGTTATTACGCTTCAAAACAGTTAAAACCTTTGAATAAGAAGACTAAGGAAGGAGCATATCAAAAATCTTAGGTACACCGCAATGGGCCTCAAATATGGCCGACTTAAATTCCGGTTTATCAGTGTCGTTCTAATTTTATTTAAAAAATGTAAAACTATGATGTAGGGTAGACGTGGGGTAGACTCAATAATTTGTTGTTTTATTTTACGTTGTGAATAAATGTTGGTAGTTATTAAAATTGTTATAAACATATATAATTCTAATAAAAATAGATAAGTTATAATAAGTATTTATTAACACAAACATCCGATACGCTACTGAAGCAGGTAAGTCAAATTAACGTATCTAAATTCTTTGACATCTAATCTTTGACAAGTAATAAATAAAAGCTAAAATGCAAGAAAAATATATAATTTAGTTAATTTAAGTGAATTTCATAAATGATCGGTTTACTACACGTATATATATTATATAGTCACTTACTAGCGAAAAGGTGTTCCATTATTTCACTCAATTTTTGCCGAGATCTACCGCACGCTACACAACCAACTATTTTAGAGTCTTTTTCGATAAATCGCGATAGTGTCACTGTTAATTTAAGTTCTGCCACAATTTTCATCTAGATTTACTACCTTTATACAACTATCAGTAGTAGAATAAATAATAAATAACATAAAATAAGCTCCGTAAAGACTGACAAATCCACAAAATTTCAAATCAAATTCAAATGTGTCAAATGAATCGTCAAACAGAACTGTCAAGGATCCCCACCCTAGAGAGCTTTTATGGTGGCTTTTCCGCCCACCATGCATGAATACATAGATAGCATTATGCTCCTTCCTTAGTCTTCTTATTCAAAGGTTAAAACACATGTAGGTGGCGCCCTCTACCAGTAGGAGTCATATTGACATCAAAATCAAATTTCTCATGTCAAAAAACACCCCAGACACCCATTTTCATCCAAATATTGACGTTACTTCAGAAATTATTTGGAAAAAATCGAAATAAAAATTTCTACACCCTGTATCTCCGAAACTAAGCATTTTAGGGCCTACATTTATACGAACTTTTTTACTTATTTTTATCTGCAGAAGATGCTTCCGAAGTTTCCGGAATACAATTCGGACCACCCTGTATACTATTTATTAAAGACCTCTTAATACCAAATTAATATTTTTAGTATATTTTAATTCCGATTTAATAATCATATAATAAATAGCTAATAATACAGTATGATCGAAAAAAATGGCGTCCAGTTGGCTTGGAAATGAACATCGATGACATTCCCCATATAATTTTAAAGACAGCAATCTTCATTTTATAATCAGAGGCCAACAATATTTATTTGGAGCTGCATAAAAACATGACTTCGTCTTTTAGTCCAACATTTAATGGTTTATAGTTGGTAAATATTATTTTAACAAACTTATTAACGTGAAAAAAATGCATTACCGATACTCCCGTACTAAGCACAGTATAAATAAGTTTTTTTCTTGTAAATAGCTTTCTTATCGTTTGCATTTTAGGCCCATGATGTTTGTTTAGGGCTTTTGTTCAAGTCTAAATATTGGTACCCGACTCTCTATGCCTATATCAGCGCCGCGCCGCACAGTGGAAAGACCCAATATAAAATGTTGGACATTGACTTAAATATAAAATTTTAAATTAAATAATTTTGGTAGAAGATTTTAATTACTTAAAGTCCAGACCGTTATATTTTATCTAACTCAAAAAAATATTTTTAATTATATGTCTGTTTGAAAAGTTTGAAATGAAGATATTACACTGACTTAATTATGGTATTCATTTCTTGTGAAACAACCTAGTTTTATAAAAAGTGGCAAAGACATTAATAATTTTTTTTAACCATACATATTAGTGCAAACGATTGTTTTCACTTTAAAATAAAAGATATATATAGTCAAAAAAGTTTGGGAAAACAAATGTATATAAAAGACAAATAAACAGTGTTTTGCTACTAAATACTATATTTAGTAGCAAAAAAATGTGTATGTAGAAAAATAAAAAAATGGCCAAAGTTGGCCAAGACTTTATATATGTCACAAGGTAGATTAAGCCTTTCTAATAATGAAACTAATTTAACATCTTGCCCCAGCTTGCCCCCCTCTAAAAATTTCCATTTAATACATTACTAAAACACTATACTAAAATCAAAAACCTTTTCAATTCCAATAAATTAATTTAAAATTTTTAGAGTCAAATTATCTTTATTTTTTTATAAATTTATTAATATTTAATTATTATTTGGATAAATACAAAATAACGCTTAAATCAAAAACAGATACAGGGTGCTACAAATATATGGAAAACTTATAAACTATTGGAAAAATAAAGAAGTTTAAAGTGCAGTGTTGACCTTTTTTGTTTGTTATAAAAATATTCCAGTGCGTTGATTTACTGTTATATTCTTTGCTTATAATAAAGTTATTGTACAGGATGTCCCACTAAGAATAGCTCTAGGCTATATCTCGGAAAGTATTAGCAGTGAGGCCTACGGAAAAAATATTCATAACTAAAGAGGCCATGAGAAATTGCTGGAAATTATTTTCAAGTTTGTAGAATGGCCGCTAGAGGGCGCAACTGCTAAAAAAAAATAAGAAAATGGAGTTTTTACACAATTATGATAAATAATAGCTTCAGAATCTTCAGTAAATTCTGAATATTTTTTGTTAGAACCATTTTCCCCTATCTGCCAAAATAAAGTGGTGGGGAAGGTTAAATCTGTTTTTTATTTAAATATTAATAACTCCGGACTGGATGGACGGAATCCAACTAACAGGGGGCTCGTTTAAAAGAGCGTTTCTTACTCTATATACCAGATAAACAATTATAGTAAGCTTTTGAATGTAGACGCTAGGGGGTGCTGTCTTACAATTTAACAAACATTGCGCGTTTTTTCAAAAAAATTAAATGCGATGATATATGTAATTTTAGCTGACAGTAAAGAGTAATGAAAGCTTAAAAGTCAGTGAAAACCGCATCTTGATATCTTCTTTCAAACCGAAGATATTAGCAAAATTATATTAAATAGGAAAATATGAGCCCTTAATTACCATAATTTTATAACACGGTATCAGTAGCCTTAGATTTCACGATTCAATTGAAAGAACCGTATTGTAAGCAATGAATCAATTCTCACGACTCTTTGAACGAAAGAGCCGTAGAAAAACGAACGATCGCATTGTGATCCGATTCAATTCTTACGATTCTTTTTTACGGCTCATCGTTCAAATTTTATAGATCCGTGCTGGCCACGATTCAATTGAAAGAACCGTATTGTAAGCAATGAATCAATTCTCACGACTCTTTGAACAAAAGAGCCGTAGAAACGAACGATCATTGTGAGCATTGTGATCCGATTCAATTCTTACGATTCTTTTTTACGGCTCATCGTTCAAATTTTATAGATCCATGCTGGCCAAGATTCAATTGAAAGAACCGTATTGTAAGCAATGAATCTATTCTCACGACTCTTTGAACGAAAGAGCCGTAGAAAAACGAACGATCGCATTGTGATCCGATTCAATTCTTACGATTCTTTTTTACGGCTCATCGTTCAAATTTTATAGATCCGTGCTGGCCACGATTCAAATGAAAGAACCGTATTGTAAGCAATGAATCAATTCTCACGACTCTTTGAACGAAAGAGCCGTAGAAAAACGAACGATCGCATTGTGATCCGATTCAATTCTCACGATTCTTTTTTACAACTCGTTCGTTTAAATTTTATGAATCTAGATGAATCGTATCTCACGATTCATTTTTAATACTCTGATGATGAACGACTCGTTCAATCTTTGCCCACCTCTATAGCTTTGGTATTAACTATTATAAAGCCTGTCCTAAATAACTAATACAAATTCAAACCTGATTTCAAAGGAGGACAACTGGACGGTCGTACTGACTGTTTATCGTCTCTCTCTGTTTGTTGAGTTGTTTTTCCACTCTCTAATTTATCTAAAAATTAAATTATGTATATTATTACGCATCCCACACCAATCTACATAGGGCTATTTGCGGTAAGGTATTATCATTCTAGACTGGTAGAAATCTAAAATTTTTGTTGTGTATGTATAAAAGAATATGAGCTATCGGTATAAAATTGTTTGGCCATCTACTGTCGTCACTCTTTTTTTGATTAAACACCCTGTCTATAAGCGATACTAATTTAGCTTTTAATTACATAATCTAGGGCACAATTTTTAAATTCATTGTTGCCAGCCATGTACATATCGTCGCCGTGCTGACTGACTGGAATTTAAATTTACCGCTAGGTATTCAGGTGGTAGCTCTGCTGTAAAAAATGCCAAGTTGCCACATTTATTTATTTCCTGAGATTTGGATTCTTTTTGACACTTTAGTTTTGTATTACGAATTTTTGGTTTAAATGAATTGCGTTGTGTTAAGCTTAATTTTTTAAAAATTATACATTTACAACGTTTTTGCATAGAAAAGGTCTCTTGGTAAAAATCGCTACGAGTAATGGTTCTCGAGATATTTGGAATCGAAATTAACCATACCTGTCGTCACTGAAATAAATTAAACATGTTCACTAAATAGTTATTAGACTGAAATCACAAATTTAAAATGTTTTTGTGGTAAAAGTTCAACAGAAACTGTTTTATTATCATTTTTTCGAAGAAAAATTTATGATTAATTTAAAAAAACAAAAAGTTCCCAAATTTATATAATTTCAGTCAAATAACTATCTACTCGACATATGTTTATTTTTTGTCAATAATGACATGTATTGATTATTTCCATTCTAAATATCTTGAGAATGGTTACTCGTAGCGATTTTTACCAAGAGACATTTTATACATAAAAAATTACGAAAAAAAATACGTTATTACTCTTCAAAACAGTTAAGACACATGTATGTGGCGCCCCCTACAATTAGGAGTCATATTGACATCAAAATCAAACTTCTCATGTCAAACAATTCCCAGACACCAATTTTTGACTAAATATTGACATTACTTTAGAAATTATTTGGAAAAAATCGAAATAAAAATAAAACTTCTACACCCTGTATCTCCGAAACTAAGCATTTTAGGACATACATTTATACGAACATTTTTAATTATTTTTATCTGCAGAATATACTGCCGAAGTTAAAGCCATAAACTACAAGGTAAAAATATTTTATATCGATCGCTCATATACATTTAATAGGAAATTTCAGTTTTTTACCATACATAATTCTCCATAAACGTATAATGAGACACTTGAATCATGAACAACCCTGTATATTACCTTTTATCGACTGCTTTCGATTATTCACGTTGTGCATAGTATGGAAATTATTCTCCTTGGTTTTATTAACATCTCTGGGCTCGTTAGCGTTATTTTTCAAATCTTTCAACGGTTTGGAGGTTTTCTTCGGTGCCTCCTCCTTATCCTGATCCAGCTTGTTCAAACTTAACACTTTAAAAGAACCATTTTTATTTTGACCATCCATTTTATTTGTCTTTTCCTCACGCGCTGAATCGTTTGCTTTGGGGGAGGTACTCCAAATCTCCGAGTAAGCGTTATTCTCCCAGCGCTTCCTAGGTAGATTTGACTTAGCTTCGGCAGAATTTCTAGCTGAGTGTGAACGCTTAATTTCTGGTATTTTCGGAGGAGGATCGCGAAGAGCCGTGTTAGGTGATATCTGAATATTCAGAAATTTATTGGAAGAATTCATATCCACAGTATTTATTCTTTTCTGTACTCTTCTAGATTGTCTTTCAAAAATCTCCAGTTCTAAAGCTTTCTTGTTGATGCAGTGCTGAGGAGCACAGTATTTAGCTAAGGGCGATGGAAAGGGCTCAGGAACGCTAGCTAAATTCCGGAATTGTTTCATGGTGTATCGGTCTTGAATTTCTTTGTTTAACGCCTGTTTGTCCAGTTTTTGATCTTGTATCCAGAAGCTCTTCCACTCAAACCGTTTATCTTTAACTTGAGGTACTATCTCTTCTGCGATGTCGGGCGTTTTAAATTCTTTCAAGGGTTGTCGTTTTCTAATTTCCATGTTTAGCATTTCGGTGTTAATTATTTGATTTTGACGCGAATTCTGAGTCCATGATATTTTTGCGCTTAGGGCATCTAATTTTTTGTCTTTGGTTTGGTTTGCGTTAGTGGATACAGTGTGTTTAACTGCGATCACTTTGCTAATGCCTAGATCAGTTTTTTCAGCTATTTTTAGCTGCTGTCGATTTGGATGGAATGATATAGACGAAGTATTGCCGGTACTTGAGATTTTAGCATCATTTTTTGATGTAATATCTGAAAGCAATGAATGATGATATTATTAGAAAATTTGAGTCTGTCTCGAAAAACGAGTCAGGGTAGATCTCAACCTTTGAATAAAAACGTGGACGCGCGTTTCGCTAACCATGTTAGCATCGTTAGCATCAATCAGCAGATAATTAAAAACTCAAGTTTTAGTTTTTAACCATGGTTAGCGAAACGCGCGTCCAGTGTAAAAGTGTTTTGGTGTATTGTGGTGATTTAATGTTTTATTTTGCTGTGTAACACCAAAGGTTCCAACCCCCAACTGTAATCTATTACGGTTACCGAGATACCAATGCTCGTGCCCCGAATTTGTAGCACCCTGTATTCCTGTATATACATACCTAGAGAATTCGTTGGTTTCTTTTCTGGCTGTTTAGGTGCTTTCCCTGTGTTGTTAGTGGTTGATTGAGTATGTTTTTCTCGTTGGGAAATTATATTTTCTGAGAGAATAATCGAATTAGACGCTCTCAATTTTGCAGTCAGTGCCTTGTGTTTTTGTTCTTTACTTTGAGCCGATTTGTTTTTGTAAGCATCTGAAACAATAATAAAAATAATAAATAAAGTAAATACGCTCCCTAGCAAAAAATTATGCCACCATAATATTCCGATTTTTAACCAAATTTCATGTTTTATAACTTTCATATTTTTTATCATATATCATATAAAATCTTTGATTGATTCATGTTTGTTTTTTTTATATATTTGTACACCTACCTAGAGGTTTCATTGATTTATTTTGTCTCAAATTAGATGCTCTTTCAGCGTCAGTACCACTTGACTTGGCGCTATATCCTTGATGAGATGTCTTCTCCGAAACACCTAGAGGAGGAACAATACCCTGAGACTTCGTGGATTTATTTTCTCCGAAATTAGATCCTCTTTCAGTGTCGGTACCGCTTGACTTCGCGCTATATCCCTGATGAGATGTCTTCTCTGAAGCACCTAGAGGAGGAAAATACCTAGAGATTTCGTGGATTTATTTTCTCCATAATTAGATGCTCTCTCAGTGTCGGTACCACTTGACTTGGCGCTATATCCCTGATGAGATGTCTTCTCTGAAGCACCTAGAGGAGGAGCAAAACCTAGAGATTTCGTGGATTTATTTTCTCCGAAATTAGATGCTCTTTCAGTGTCGGTACCATTTGACTTGGCGCTATATCCCTGATGAGATTTCTTCTCTGAAGCACCTAGAGAAGGAACAATATCTAGAGATTTCGTGGATTTATTTTCTCCCAAATTAGATGCTCTTTCAGCATCAGTACCACTTGACTTGGCGCTATATCCCTGATTAGATGTCTTCTCTGAAGCACCTAGAGAAGGAGCAAAACCTAGAGATTTCGTGGATTTATTTTCTCCGAAACTAGATGGCCTTTCAGTGTCGGTACCACATGACTTGGCGCTACATCCCAGATGAGATTTCTTCTCTGAAGCACCTAGAGGAGGAACAATATCTCGAGATTTCGTGGATTTATTTTCTCCGAAATTAGATGCTCTTTCAACATCCGTACCACTTGACTTGGCACTATATCCCTGATGAGATGTCTTCTCTGAAGCACCTAGAGAAGGAACAATACCTAGAGATTTCGTGGAATTATTTTCTCCGAAATTAGATGGTCTTTCAATGTCGGTACCACTTGACTTGGCGCTATATCCCAGATGAGATTTCTTCTCTGAAGCACCTAGAGGAGGAATAATATCTAGAGATTTCGTGGATTTATTTTCTCCCAAATTAAATGCTCTTTCAACATCAGTACCACTTGATTTGGCACTATATCCCTGATGAGACGTCTTCTCTGAAGCTCTTAATGGATGAGTAGCAATATTCTTTTGTTCTTTGAATTTATCTTTTTCGTGTTTATATTCACCTGAAACTGTACGAAATACTTTCTAAATTGGGCAAATCAATTATACAGGGTGGTCCGAACTGTATTCCGGAAACTTCGACATCATGTTTTGCTGATAAAAATAAGTAAAAAAGTTGCGAAAAAATGATGATAAAACAGTTTTTGTTGAACTTTTGACACAAAAACATTTCAAATTTATGATTTCAATCTAATAACTATTTAGTCAACATGTTGAACTTATGTCAATGATGACCGGTATTGATCATTTCGATTCCAAATATCTCAAGAACTACTCGTAACGATTTTTACCAAGAGACCTTTTCTACCTAAAAAACGTCGTAAACGTATATTCTTTTACTCAGTAGTTTTATACAGGTAAGGACGAAAAGTTATTTCTCTTTAAACCAGTTAAAAAATATGTATGTGGCGCCCTCTACAAGCAGGAGTCGTATTGACATCAAAATCAAATTTCTGATGTCAAAAAACTCCCAGACACCAATTTCATCCAAATATTGACGTTACCTCAGAAATTATTTAGAAAAAATCGAAATAAAAATGAAACTTCTACACCCTATATCTCCGAAAGTAAGCATTTTAGGACATACATTTATACGAACTTTTTTACTCATTTTAATGTGCAGAATATGCTGCCGAAGTTTCCGGAATACAATTCGAACCAACCGATATATTATACAGGGTGAGTGTTAAATAAGTGCAAATATTTTCAGGGGTGGTATATTTCGACCCCAGGAACACGTCTTTTTTCGCAAAAAGAGATGTTGAAAATCGTGCATTTTGTTTTAAATTTCCCTGTATATTTTTCAAAAACTTTTTAGAACTACCTGTTCACCGCAAATTTTCCCACGGTATCATTTCTTAATCTCTGATATTACCATAGTTGCAGCTTTACTCTATGGTTACGGTACTAAATGGAATTACAGAAAAAATCCGGTGGCTCTCAAAATTTTTCCAAAAAAAATCAATTTTTTTAAATGTTCAAACTTAAATAACTCGGTTATTTTGGACTTATTTGAAAAATGGTAAAGAGAAAATATGTTTCTTTTATTGAGATCTACCAGCCCTAAAATATTTGCACTTATATAAGACTCACCCTGTATATTTTCAATTTATTTTAAAAATGGTAAAGGGAAAAAATGTATATAAATGTTTCTTTTAGCCAGATCTACCACCCCTTGAAATACTTTCACTTATTTCTGAGACACCCAGTATATAAGTAAATTAAAAAATAATTTATTTTAAAATAGCGTTTTAAATACGTCAAGCAAATGATATATCTGGATATTTACTTGGTTTATTTTCTTGTAAATTCAATATCCTTCCAGTATTAGTAACATTCGTTTTAAGCTCGTGTACTTGTTGCGATGCTTGTGGCGCCACTGAATTGAGACTTAATTTATTAGGAAGGACAACATCTCTTTGTGTTTCGGATTTTTCTTCTTCGTATTTATAGTTATCTGAAAACAATCAACATATTTCCTTAACACTTTATAGGGCAGTTTGGTTTGGTTTAGAAAAAAATGAGTTTTTAATTTTTTTCATATTGTTCCACCACTACAAAAAATTCTAAAAAAATTCTGAGCGTAAAGGAGCATAAAAGACATTTTCTGACGATTTTTAGTGAATGACATATTTCACAAAGGTTAAAAAATTGAAGATTTTAATTTTCTTTCCTCCGCTAAAAATCGGCTTTTCGTTTAAGAATCATGATCATATTATTTTTTCATATCTTAGACTTGTCAGAATTAGAAAAAAATCATCATTAATTAATTTTGAATTTTACTATAAAAATAAAAATAAAATTGAAAAAACAGGTTTTTTTGAAAATCTCGAAAACCGTTTGAGTTAAAGAGCTAAAAATTTAGGTGAATTATTTTGATTCAACACCAAATCGATCCCCTGAATGCGAGTCAAGTCTTAACTCTAATTAGTTGCATGGTAAATGATAATTAATGTGTACCTAAAGATTTAAGCGGTTTCTTTTCTTCCATTTTATCAATCTTTTCAGAGGTAGCGACCACGGTTTTTGAGGAATCTTTCTTTTGTGGTTCTGTTTTGGACGTCTGTCCAACGGTGGTATCCCTTTGTACTTCCAAAGTCCCCTTTGTTTGTTGTAAATCATCTAACCATTTAAAAAATATTTAATTAAAGCTATAGAGAATATTTATTTATTTTTGTATACTTGTAGACTTTATTAGTTTATTTCCTTCTAGTCCTGATATCTTTTCAGCAGTATTTTTTTCTGAATTTTTAGAGCTCTCCGGTTTATATGATTTCCCGGACAAAACGGCACCTGTATCTCCATCTTTTCTTTTCGGTGGCAACACCATGTCTTTTTTACCTTTCGGCTTGTCTTTTTTGCGTTTTTCCTTGTCTGAAATATTATTTCCAATATACAGGGCGCTACAATTTCCATGGACATAGAACTACTACGGAATTTTTTACAGATATATTTCTTTAGGAGTTATAACTCATCATATAGTCTCAGGGCTTTGACGAGAGCTAGTATCTGAGACGGTTTTACGAAGTTAGTTCTCCATCTCCGATCAATCGTACCAAAGTTTATGACACGAATGAAAGACATCTAAATGGGTAGACAGAACACTCCATTCATAAAACTCATTTTTTTAGAATTTTCACTTTTATGAGAGTTAAAAAGAGATGGGTACATAAATATGACAACACGGTTGAGTTTCGTCTATCTTTCTGTCATTTCAGTGGCGTGACGGTGGCGTGATGTTTTTTTATCAAAAATTGATGAATTTTATCAAAAATTGATTGGGATTGCCTCAGACCAATTTTCCATTACAACAAGAAAATATACGTATTTTTGTAATAATCTACTTATAACTAAAAGTATCTAAATACGCTACTGTAAGCATGGCTAAATGTAAAAAAAACGTAGTGGCACTTACCGTCGAAATATCAATTTCGAGTTAGAATAGTCCGCCTCTTTACAAACTATGCACTGGCGAACCATCGTAGATAGTTAAAAACTACTTTATATAGTTTTCTTTGTAATAAACACTAATATAATTATTAAAAAGTTGTTTAAAAGCTACAAAAACTTTCAACTACCGCAGAAAACTCTTAAGTTGGTTTCTACTTGTGTTATTTGTCCGTTAGAGGGCCATCAAAATTTACAAAAATAAACACAGTTTTTAGGATATTTTAAGAACCATTATTCTCATTTGAATGACGCTTGACTTTCATAAAAATCAAGAAAAAGTACGAAAGAAGTGTGAAAACTACCCCCACTCCTACATACATTTTAGTAGGAATATTTTCCAAATCCACCGACGACTGATTTTTTTTTCGTAAAATGGTTCTTCTAGTATTTACAACATCTTTTGTCTCTGGTAAAAAAATGCCACCGCGCATTCTTTATGCGGAAAAAACTGTTTTTTTCCAAAACTGACTTACAAAAATATTTCTTGTCACCATCTAGTTAGCGAAAACATGGGATGTCATGTTAGTATCACAAATTTAATGATATTTGACAAGAAGCTTTATTCATTTTTATATTAATTAACGCTCGGGTTTATTTTTGATCGATGCCCTCTAGCGGACAAACGAAGCACTTCTATAAACCGGGTGCGTCTCAAAAGTGGCTCACCCCTATAACTTTTTTATTAAACGGTTTTATTTAGCTCGACCCGTACGGTATTTATTTATTTGTTTGTTTATGTGGGTCAAAATTAGAAATTGAAATTTAAGTACCTTCCTGTTGTCAGATTGATCTGGAATTTGGTACACACCTTTAGTTCCGATGACAATACAATATAGTAATATCAATAACATTGTAAATCTAAGATGGCCGCCGGTACAAAATGGCGGATTTCATATTTTTCCACAACCCCCTCAATATGGGTATCAAATGAAAGGGCTACACTAGTAGAATACTGTGATTATGACAAAATTTAAAATCCAAGATGGACGTCGTTACAAAATGGCGTATTAGGTGAGGGCATGAGTAGTCGTGTCCAGAACAGTTGTGTCCAAGATTGTGTGACGTTAGAAGGACAGATAAAAAAAAATAGGTGATTAGATGTACCTACGTAGTTAGCGGTAGCTTTACCACCCAAGTTAAGGTAATAGGTTAAAACGTGCTGAGGACTGTATGGCATTAGGGTGGCTAATTATCAGGTAAAAAACCATGTAATAATGATGCACTAAATGAATTAAATAGAATGAGGAATATTCGGTAGGCATTTCCGTTAAATACTAAAAACTAGAAAATAAAAAATCGGTAAAAAAACTTTTAAGTTAAACGGTTTTATCTTATGTGCACTGAAAACTAGAAAAAAATAATAACAATTAGGTATTTTGAACTTCTAGTTCAGAAATATTTTAGTACTAGGCAGAATAGCTTTTAGGCATATTAGACTGAAATAAAAACGTGGAGCCCCTCTGAAATCCTACCTATGGCAAAGCATATATTATCTTTATAGTTTGGTAGATCATGAGCTCGGCGTTCGCTGGTGAAGCCGCCACGGCTGGTTATTGATTGTCAAAATCTCCAGTTACGATTATAGTAAATCGATGCAATCCACACTTAGTATAGAAGAAAGTATTACAGCAACAGTTAATGGGCCCCACGTTTTTATTTTAGTCTAATATGCCTAAAAGCTATTCTGCCTAGTACTAAAATATTTCTGAACTAGAAGTTCAAAATACCTAATTGTTATTATTATTTTCTAGTTTTCAGTGCTCATAAGATAAAACCGTTTAACTTAAAAGGTTTTTTACCGATTTTTTATTTTTTTAGTTAAAAAAACGAGATTTGGTATGTTAGTATATGACATAAATTAGGATTGATTGACATATTCAATTGTTTTCGGCCACTTCCTGTTTCACCGGAAATGACCGCAACTTTTGATTTTTAAATGGCACTCTCGGTATTTTTTTACTTTATTCGAAAGAAAATAACACTCTGAATAGAATGACATATCATATGTCAACTTTTGACGTTTTGCCATATGGTGTATTTGAAATTATAACATGTGGTTCGTAACGAAAATTTGACTCGAAATACCAACTGTGTGGTATCAAATTATTCGTAAAAAAATGCTTTTCCCAAATATGCTAATGAGCCACCCTCGTTCCATTTGAAAACATTGAGATATGATTAAAAATACGATTTAAGCATTTTCTAACTGGCCAGGTCAAGGCACTAAAAACATTAGACGATCAAATCTATTTTTCCAAGGCTCCTCGATTAAGAATTAGTGATTTTAACATAGCCATGGCACTCTAGATTGAATTTTAAAATACAATTTTTTTAAGCGAGAATGTCAAAAGTTGACATATGATGTCATTCTATTCAGAATTTCATTTTCTATCGAAATAAAGTAAAAAAATACTGAGGGTGTCATTTAAAAAATCAAAAGTTGTAGTCAATTCCGGTGAAACAGGAAGTGACCAAAAACAATTGAATACGTCAATCAATCCTAATTTATGTCATATACTAACCTACCAAATCTCGTTTTTTTATCTGAAGAAATAAAAAAGTTATAGGGGTGAGCCACTTTTGAGACGCACCCGGTAGAGGTTAATTATTTGCAATTAACTTATTTTGATTCGAAAAATAAATACGCAGTAGTTCTATGTCCACGGAATCTTAGAACATCCTGTATTTCAAATAATTTACTTCACAGTGTTTTCGGTATTACCTTTACCGGAGGGAGGTCGTACAGGAGGTGGTACCCTAATTTTATTTCCTAACCTGGATACACTGTTTTTTGGATAACTTTGTTTCGAAGAAGTGCTTGAAGGTTTGGTATCCAGTACCTCGGTCTGAGTTTTGTTCTCACAGCTTTTCTCTATATTTTTTATGTTAATTCCTTCGTTCATCTTTACGTTTTCGTTGTCCTTTGCTTCTAAAGATATTATATTTTTTAGTAAACTGTTCATAATACCGTAGGATCGAATGAAAACGACATCTTGTAGGTGTATAAATAACATTCAGATTGAGGCTTTATGTACAGGGTGAACCAAATTGGACCCTTTTCTATAGGAGATAGACGAAAAATAATATCGGTCTGTTTTTTGAAGCTCAATTTTGATCAAAAACGTGATGGTGAAAACTACACATCGATACCTGTCACCATTTCGGAGTTACGGGGTGTTTTTCAAAAATGTGCATTTTTAACAAATCGCTATGGAACTATTTTGCTATCGAAAATTTTGTATTACGTAGAATTTAATGGTTTAAGTATAATTTTTTAAATTAATAATTTAAGAATTATCAACAGAAAAGTTGATTTTTTAATTGGGACACCCTGTATATTTATAATTCACCGAAAAGAGCTTAAAATTACCTTTCCAAAAATATAGCACACTTGATATTTTCCTTGAGTCCCCTTCAAAATACAAAATTTTTAAAAGTTCGCCACTTTTAACCAGTAGGCTTGGAACCCCTTATTGATGATCTGCCCCTAATGGAACTCGAAACCATATTTTTCTAGCAAGGGGAGGCACCGCCTCACAACAATAAAATTATTTTGCAGCCAATTTCAAGAAAACTTGAATAGCTAACCAAGATTCCAGCCGTTGGCCGTCGAGGCCGCCAGACTTAGCGCCTATGGATTTTTATCTTTGCGAACGACTAAAGGTTCTTGTTTTTAAATTGTCCGCATAATATAGACAAGCATTAGAAGTACTTAGCGGTTATGTGAGGGTATCTTTTACCCCAACTTAGTTAACGAATTCCGCAAGAAATATTCAGAAACGGTCCCATCTGTGCATAACAGAAGACTATTGACATCTCCTGTAGCAAAATCTGATGTCTTGGTTTGCTATTTATTGTTATTGTTATTAGATATAGTTTAAAAGTGTTCTTGTTGTTAAATATAGTTTAATTTTTTTTAAATTCTGCATCCCTCATTGCAAATATTATTTTCGGTTTAATTGCTGCGCACAGCTAGCATTTTTCAGCATTACGGCCTGCGCCGTTCAAAGCCTACTTATTCAAAGTGGACGAATTTTTAAAAACTCTATATCTCGAAGAGGAATCGAGCAAAATATCAAGTATGCTATTTTTTCGGAAAGGTAATTTTAAATTCTTTTCGATGAATTAAAAATATAAGGGTCTCCCATATAAAAAATCAAATTTTCTGTTGAAAAAATATATAAAGATAAACCTTTAAATTATTAGTTTTAAAAAAATTATACTGAAAATTTCACACCTCTACTTTTCAACCAATAACATGCTTTAATATTGACTAGTTACCATGGCAACTGAAAAAATTTCCGGAAATTTTTTCGAGGCGCCACGAAACTTTAGTGGAAATTTTTTGACAGTTGAAAAGGTAAACATAAGATCTACAATCATAATGTGAATGAACTACAATGTCTATATATTGAAATATTACCCATTTGAGTTTTAGCAATACCTTGGCCAACTTAACAAATTGAAATTATTTTAAAATGTCATGTTGGATTAATATTTTTTTTTTCAAATTTAGGTGTGAAATTTTCTTACCGAATACCACGCAAGCTTAAATTATTCCTGGAAATTTTCTTTCGGGCACGAATATTTTAGGAAAATTATCCCTCGTCTTCGACTCGCGATAATTTTCAAAATATTCGTGCCCTCAAAAAAATTTCCGAAAATAATTTAAGCTCTTGTGATATTATAAGTGAAAAATACACAATTTCCAGCAAAAAGTTACAGCGATTTGTTAAAAATGCACGTTTTTGAAAAACACCCCGTAACTCGGAAAAGTAAGCGATATCGATATGCAGTTTTCACCATCATGTTTTTGATAAAAATTGAGCTTCAGACACCGATATTAGTTTTCGTCTATCTCCTATAGAAAAGGGTTTCCCTTTAAAAGCGTCCAATTTGGCCCACCCTGTACATTATAACTTACTGTCTGCTTTTTGTTCCGAATCGCCGGCACTCATTTCAAATTGTTTCATCGTCATTTCTCTGGAACTTTTCCTCTTCACCCTTGTATACAACTCTGATATTCCGTCTTTTAGCTTAATGACTTTCTTTTTAATTTTATCTTCTACATTCTTAGATTCATTTATGCTACTACCTTTATTATCATTTACAGGACATTGCGCATGTCCGATGTACGTTTTCGCTTCCATCGGTTCGTTTTTAAAATTCACCACCACCTCGCTTTTCGGTAGGTAGATCGTTTCAAACGTCCCCGGTAATATTTTTTCCATAAAGTACTCTTTCATAACTGTTTCGTTTATGTTGCTGATAGTCAGTATTTCTGGCACTTTTTTGCATGTGGATATCAAGTTATCCACGCGACATTCTAACGGGTTTTCGGTTGTTTTTCCTGATACATTTTTGCCCGAGAATATAGAGTTAGGAGCTCCTATTTCCACACGACATTCTAGAGGTTTTTCGGTTGTTTTTTCTATGGCGTTATTCGTGCTTACATAGTATTTTAATGGTGTTTCGTTAAGTTTTTCTACTGTGTGGAGGGTGTCATCAAGCATTACAGTTTTGATAGCGTCTGTAATATTAACGCTTAAATCCGCTTTTTTGGGGTCAATTTTCGTAATATCTTTCGCCTCAAGGTTAGGTTGTATTATTAAATCTAAAAAATAGATAGATATTTTTATAGGAATAATCAAGTTGAAGTCACAAAAAAACCGTAAAAATATAGGAATTTATTATATACTTATGTAAAAATAGAGTTATAATAAATATTCAAACTTTATTGACTTTATACTGTAAGTGACGTAGAAAATAGGGCATCCACTAAAAGTGATTTATTTCTAATAATTGTTTATATCCGGACAAGTGAACTCAAATGTTTCTTTAAATCCATTTTATACAATACTTTCCCTCCGTACAATTCTAAGGGTAACACTCTTTATCTCAGGGTTGTGAAAAAACAACCAAACCAAGCCCGCCCCACGTTGGGCGCCAAATTTATATCTAGCAATACTGGTGAGATTTGACTATCGGAGTGTACATTGGAGTTAAGTAATACAATTAATATGGAAGATATCGTATACCGGGTGGTGCATCGTCGTTGGAAACATAGAAAATCGAGTGCAAATTTTCAACTGCCCGGATATTTGTTCCCCCGCTAATTCTACAGCGAAGTTGCCATATTTCAACAATTTTTGACAAGCCGATTTTAAGTAATTTAAGAAGAATTGCATCTATTTTTAAATTAAAACTGAACAGGTAACAACTTAACTTGTCAACGTATGATTTTGTGAATGTCAAATGGTATTTTCTAAACGTATAGATAAAGGAAATAAATTTAGATTGGAATGCTAGGCTTCCCGCTAAAACGTATAACTGTTTTGGGGGGCATACGTTGTACGGGATCTGGCGCTGCTATAGCGGTTGCTAAGAACAACCGCAAACAAGAACAGAAAGAATTTTCTCTTGTCAACGTCAGAATCTTCATAAATTATAAAATCTTTCAAAATTTAAACCGCCCGAATTGAAAAAATACCGAAAAGTGTTTAAGCCGTCCATTTTCAAAGTAATTATTGCTATCTTTTAAGTTCAATTCAAATTTTATTTACTCAAACCCCTGATAATTGTAAAAAAGTGGCATTAAAAAAACTTAAGCTGTGTGAACTGTGAACTGCAAAAACATCGTGGCATAACGTCGGTTTCCAATGTTCCATAGGTATTTCATACATGCCCTTATATAAAATAAAGTTTCTTATATGCAACACACTGTGTTTTATTTATAAAATTAAAAGAAAATAATAATAAATTTGAATAAATAATATATTTGGCGGCATAATTCCGGAAAAAGTCGAACCGCTCCAAAATTATCAAAAACTTTGAGTCGCAGCCGTCGCAAAAATAGCGCCAAATAGTATTTCCATTGTCCTTCATTGATACTAGGTAATCAGCTAACAATTTCATCTTAAATTTTGTATCCTACATTTGTGTACAAAAATTAATGAAAGTTAAATAAACACTTTTGAGTGAGAGTTATATTTTCTATGTCACTTACTCTGACTACATATCACTATAATAAAATCTGAATTTCGTGACAATGACTCTAGCATCTGATCCTTGTTAAACGTTGTGTTATTTCAGATTCAACATTCAACAAGGAATTAAGATAATCTATCACTGTCAATAACTTTAGAGACAGATTCTAATAAAGCTCGAACTGTGACACATCCTGTGACGTTGTTTTCATTTGATCACACTATATTTTGCAACTTTTCAAATATCATTATCACTAACCTTTTATATTTTCTTCTTTAACCGTTCCAGTTTCTTTCGAAGATTTCAACTGAATTACAGAGTTTTTGTTCTGGTTCATATCCGACTTATATTCCTGTTGAGTTAGGTTAGGATTGATCATGATACCTGTTGTTTCACACACAGGCTGAATTTCTATTGAATCGGATAAAAAAAGTTTTAATTTTATTATATTTTATAAAACAAATAGATTCACACCTTTTTTAGTTTTAATGGGAATCGGTTCTAGTTCTTTGGCAACATCAACTGGAACAATGCCGTTAATATTTTTAATTCCCAGTTCCGACAGTAATTTTTGATAACGACATTGAAGGGTTTCTTGGTTGGTACTTGTTTTTTCTTTTAGATCATGAGATGGTACTTCTTTTGGCCTTTCTTTAGCCGTAACTTCTTTATTCTGATTTTCTCTGTCGCGGACTAGTACGACATCCAAATCTTCGTCGTCTTCAGACGGGTCTTTTTCCTTTAAAGTTGGAATACTGCACACTGGTTCTTTTTGTTGCTTTGGACTTATTGCTTCTTTTTGTGGGCTGTTATGGGTTCCATTTTGGCTATCTTGAGTCTGGTCTAGAAGTTTTAGTTATATACATGAGCAAAATTATCAGAGATTTTTTTATATCGGTTGTTTTAAATTCGACTGTCACTATAGGGATTTGGGGAACTGGAAGAAGCACAGAGAGGCTCAAATTAGAGCAAAGAAGCTTATCAATGAGCCCAATGTTCCTGTTTTCGTTTTATTTTTTGCGAGTTTATTTTAGTACTTGGAAAAAAATCTATAAACGCATTCTAAAACATTTTTTTAGCTTCATCCTTTCCGAGACTCTTAATTCTGAGAATTTCCGATTCTGGGACTCTTAATCTCAGGATCGTCAATTCGTGCCCCACGTTGGGCACCAAATGTATAAAACCTACAAAACTTGTGAGATTTGTGCACTATTTAGGGGTACCTTGGAATTAAATAGAACAATGAAAAATTAATAATTAATTTAATAAGTTAAGGTTATATATTCAAACTTAGTAGAAATTAGACTAAAGCTTCATTCAGAACCTCGCAATTAGTGGAATAAATTAGTGGTTTCAATTAACGTAGAAGTTTGTTCCTTTAATTTCAATGTAAGCATTCAAAACGTCAAAATTAGTGGTAGACATTTTCAATATTAAAAAGGTTATCAAACTTTTAACTTTTCCACTAATTGTACTTCAAAATTTGCGAGGAATGTCATTTTGGCCTTTGATTATCTTCCGTTAAGAGAAATTGTGGTTAGAAATCAAAAGTTAATTGTTTTATAAGCTAAATATTAGGCATTCTCTATGGATACAACTGACTGAAGCAAGCTGTTGCTAGGATATTGTATTAATTTAAATTGTGTTTTTTAAATATTGTGAATGATCGTAAACTAATAAGTATAAGGTGTAATTGAAACCACTAATTTATTCCACTACTTCGGAAGTTCTGAATAAAGCTTTAATCTCAGTAATTGTCAATTCGTGCCCCACGTTGGGCACCAAATGTATAAAACCTACAAAACTGGTGAGATTTGTGGACTATTAAGGTTTACCTTGGTATTAAATAGAACAATGAAAAATTAATAATTAATTTAATAGGTTAAGGTTATATAGTCAAACTTGGAAACTAATGGTCCAAAGAAAAAAAATGTTATAGAAAAGAGATAAACACTAACTTTTAGTTGGTTCTTCTATACGTTTTATTTTGTCGTTTTTTTTATCTTTCGATGATTTCATATTTTCATTCGCCAAGCTACACAATTTTTCTTCAGATTCTTTTTCTACGTCCTCTTGTTGTAATTCACTCTTAACTGGAGGTATTATTTGATTCAGCAACACTGCATTCAGTATTTTTTTTACTGTATCCTCAATTTTAGACGCGGGTACCTTTTTGTGTATTTCCGTTTCTACAAAATCGCAATACAATAGTTATTTACTATATAGCTGCTTTATTTAGTTAGTATCAATAAGCTACTAACTAAATGTCCAACCAGACCTTAGTATACTAACAAAAATTATTTTAAATTGTGTATCTTGTAAAATAAATTATTTGTAATAACCTGTAGTAATTTCATCGGATCTCTCCGTTGTGGGTTCCGCTCTAGAGTCTTCCTTCATTGGTTTAACATCTTGTCGTGGTCGAGTTACTCTTGTAGCATGCTCCTTTTCTCGTCCTGTTGTACTATCGTTAAAGTTTTCAATTTTTTCTCTAACTCTTTCAGCTACGGTTACCAAAAAGAATAATAAAATACAGTTCTTTTACAATCCTCCAAAAACACAAAGATTGAACAAGAACACGATATTATACAAAATAATGACTGACACTAGGATAACTGTCAAATAATAAAGGACAATATTGCTGAACACGGCGCAATGTGACCAACATAGCGATATTAAAATTCGGTTTAAACTAATTTTTGCAGCTTTAATCTAAATAAAATATATGTTACAATCATTTGCTCTATAAAGTAAAATGAAGAGCTGCTCGGTATCTTAAATTATACAACAAATCTAAACATTTTTGGCAAAATTTCATTTTGTCAGGTTTATATTTAGTGTCAATGTCGATATGATTGGCGACGTGCATCAGAAAATGTTTTGTGATTACAATATGTTGCTGTTTATTTAAATGTGCTTTGTAGTAAATTGATCATACTCCAATATTCTTTCTGCATTCTTGAAATTCCTTTCATAGACACAGACCCAGTAGACCTATTATTTAGCATAAAGTTTAACTTAAGCAATTCTAATGTTTTTGGTGCAATTATAACAGGAAGACGTGTTATGTAAACTTACCCCTGTTGTTCTTCTCCACCAAAACCGCTATTTTTTTATCCCCCTTCGGCGATTCTTTCTCGACAGTTGGCGTGGCCACTACAGCCGCCATCTGTTCCTTCAATTTATCTATTTCCATTTGTTGCCTCCTTAGCATATTTTGGTGACGCGCCATGCGCACTTTGGCCGATGCCTTTTCGTTAAGTTCTTCGACCTCGTCCGGTTCTTCCAAATAAGACGACGCCTCAGTAGTCTCAGGGGCGGCGGGCTTGGCTTGTATACTTTTCATTTGAGGATGTTTCTGGATCATCCTCTCTTCCTCCGATCGACTTAGCGGCTTAATGTTGCCCAGTTCTACAACCAGAATGAATATAGTAAAGTGTTAATAACAAAGTTTATTGCATTAGAAGCAATGAAATCAGTGGCGGCTCGTGAAGAAGTGTCACAGAACCATGACACTATACTCTGTACAAGGTATCCCATTTTCCTTTGTTTTGTGGGGTTTATCGTTTATGAGTAGAGATCAGTAGCGGCTCGTGACCCGTGTGACTGGGTAGGCGACAACATTTTAGTTGCGTCTATTTGCCCCCCCCCCTAATTTACATAATACCCTAGACCAGTTTGTAAATATATGTTATCTCTGGGTTAAAAAAATAGCTCAAAAATATTTATATTTTTGAGCTATTTTTTTAACTATTTATATATTTAGGACAAAACTAAAGCAAAAATATCAGCATTCAACGTAATGACATAATGATTGACATAATGTACAAGTATAGTTTTTATTAATCTATATTATCTATAATATCCTTTGAATAAGACTAAGGAAGGAGCATATCAAAAATCTTAGGTACACCGCGATGGGAAATATGGCCGACTTAAATTCCGGTTTATCAGTGCCGTTCTAATTTTATTTAAAAAATATAAAACTATGATGTAGGGTAGACGTGGGGTAGACTCAATAATTTGTTGTTTTATTTTACGTTGTGAATAAATGTTGGTAGTTATTAAAATTGTTATAAAAATATATAATTCTAATAAAAATAGATAAGTTATAATAAGTATTTATTAACACAAACATCCGATACGCTACTGAAGCAGGTAAGTCAAATTAACGTATCAAAATTCTTTGACATCTGATCTTTGACAAGTAGTAAATAAAAGCTAAAATGCAAGAAAAATATATAATTTAGTTACCTAATTTAAGTGAATTTCATAAATGATCGGTTTACTACACGTATGTATATTATATAGTCACTTACTAGCGAAAAGTTGTTCCCATTATTTCACTCAATTTTTGCCGAGATCTACCGCACGCTATTACTCGCTAACTATTTTATTATATTACTCACTAACTATTTTAGAGTCTTTTTCGATAAATCGCGATAGTGTCACTGTTAATTTAAGTTCTGCCACAATTTCCATCTAGATTTACTACCTTTATACAACTATCAGTAGTAGAATAAATAATAAATAACATAAAATAAGCTCCGTAAAGACTGACAAATCCACAAAATTTCAAATCAAATTCAAATGTGTCAAATCGTGAAACAGAACTGTCAAGAATCCCCACCCTAGAGTGCTTTTTCCGCCCACCATGCATGAATACATGGATAGCATTATGCTCCTTCCTTAGTCTTCTTATTCAAAGATTATATCTAATATTTCATAAAATAAAATTCACAAAGATATTTGACTTAGTGACTTAGTTTACTTTATTAACATATCGAATTGAAATAGCACAGATACTTTTCTGTAATATCTGTTGTATCGTCTTCTTGCACCGAATAAAATAACGCGCTTTTTTTATTTCGGATTCTTTTATTTCTGTGGCGTGTTCTGAAAGTAGAATAGAAATACAATCGGTTATATAATTTTTAATAATCTCGGACAAGCCCGAAAACTGTTTCCAATTTGCTTTAAACGTTTTTTTGAATTTTCATATAAAAATTTTAAATGCTACGTATAATGAATCATATGAAATATCCCCTTAACATCTAAGCCTACCGAGACCCCACGACTTCATGCGAAGGCGACCGGAGATTTCGCCTAAGCCCCGCCTTAATATGATACAACTCCGACTTATGTCGCGTCGGAAGAACTGTCACTTGTTTTATTATTTTCCTTTTCTATTTCACGAAAGTAAAAAGAGTTACCTATCTGATTCGTTCAGGGACTCAATTTAAAGAATATCAGTAACTTTTTTGGTAGAGGGATTTTATATTTGCCATTTTGGTAAAAAATAACGGTCAAAATTCAAAGTTATTCATTTTATAGACTATAGTAAAAGTTGGTTTTAAAAATAGCTGTTAAACTTTTACTGGCGTAGTCTTAGCAAATCAGTGAATGTGAGGTTTTACTCATAATTGTTAACAATCACTGATTTCCAACTTTTACTGTAACATATTATACAAAGATGCGGCTTTCACATCACTGTACTACTTTTTTATGGAACTAATAATGATTTTTTTACTTACCTAAATCTAGTAGTTCCTGTTTGACTTGATCTCGCCGTTTATTTTTTTCCAACAGTTCCCCAATATTCTTCATTATGGAACTTTTCCGCGTATTAATTTTCGGTTTTTGCAGTTCCATCTGGGCGTTTCTTTCCTCAATTATACTATGATGTTCCATTATTCTTCTCAACCGGTTTGCCCGTTGGTTCTTTTTAACCGCTTCCGAGTTGAGGTTCTCGATTTCATCGTACTCTAGAGGTTCTATTTCCGTTTTCTCGGGTGGCTTTATTCGTGGCTCGGCAACTTCGTTTTTCTTTCCAGGTACGGCGATTAGAGACCTCAGTTCTTGCGTAATCTTCTCCCTATGCTGCATGAGCTGGTCAATCTTCTTACTGATACGCACCTGCTCTGCCAGCGATCCTAAGTTTCTATCCTCTAAATCTGTCAGCTCTTTGATGAATTTATTTGTGTTTTCCAAGTCTTTTTCCATGTTGGCTAAATTGATTTGGGCCTTTTGAACCTTGGGACCCCGTTGATTGCTGGTTGGTTGAATTGCTTCGGTATTCTCGTCAAGTATTTCGCTTCTTGAGACTTTTTGAGCTTCTGAAATACCCGCTACCGAAAATATAAATTGTTTTTTCGTGTTCATTAATATTAGGTTTGTTCCAACACAGAAGTTTGTACCGTTCAAGGAACGGTTAGCTTTATACGCATGTGTGAACGTGGACAGTTGTGTTACTATAGGCTTGGTGCATTTCAGTTGATTGCAACAAATTCCGACCGTAGCGCTTCAACGGCAGAAATCAGAATTCATCAGTATGTATTTCACGCCGCCGCACAGGGCTTCGTCCCATGGACAAAAATCGAAAAAAAGTTAAAATTTACTAATATCTGAATATGTAATTTTATACTTATAGCAATGTTCAACCATCCTGTATATTATTTTTCATAAACAACGTTTCTTGTTCAAATATTTTCACTAAAAATAAATTTTGCGATCATTATCTTATCAGTAAAAAGAATAACATTGATAGTAGTTCTGTATATTATGGAGTTAAACGGTACGTACTTAATTGAAAGCCACTATGGATATTGTTAAACAAGGTATGTACTTTAAATTTATTTCTAAACAAGTTCTTGATTATTTAGTTTTTATTTATTTTTTGAGATGATTCTTAAATGGGTATAAAAATTTTACGTTTTCAAACTTCAAAAAGGCATTTAAAAAAAACATATCGTATTTATTGAATATTTTTGTTGTCATATTCATACACTTTTAATTTTTGTATAGTTCACCTGCGTCTATTTGCGACGAACTTTATTTTATAATACTTTTCAGATAGAGTAAAATTGATAAGCAATGCCGATATGGTTAATACTTGGCTTCATCATAAGGACAAGTACTCAAAATTATTTGTATTTCAAAAAATGTGTTCTTTATTAGATATTGATGAACCTTCCAGTCAAATGAGACACCACTTGTGTCTGAAAAAGCCCACTATGTTGGAGCGAAACGTCGCATAAAAAAGTTTCCATCTTTCAATTTTTTTCCATTTTTTTTTCCTCATACCCAAGAAAATGAAAAAATAATATATGGATATGGTCTATTAAAGAGGTAACTATTAACATCCGAACCCCTCATACCAACAAAAAGAACAGTAACAACGCGAAAAAGTAACATATTAGAAAATGCTGTACAGAAATATCTTATATGTGAGGATACTTTATCTACCTGTGATTTGGATACTATAAATTTGGAAGATTCTGTCAGCAGTGATTCTTCTGAATCAGAGTAGTTACGATCTATGCATTTTGTTGTCCTAAAGTAAATTTATAGTATCTTAAGTTTTTTTTAATTAAATATAACATTAATGTTTCTTTTTCATTAAGGAAAAACAATTTTATCTTATATTAGGCTTATATTCTAGGAATCATGTTCTAATGTTATTTCAATTCATTTTTATCACAGGGATTTATTTAACACTTACACCGTTTTCATATTATAAATTATTATTTCCTTAGATGGAATACAGCTCCAATATTTTTATTATTTATAAAATTTTTTTTCATAAACGTGGGACTAAGAACACCATCATTTAGTACAATGAGAGTACTCATCATTTGTGTCAAATAAACCTAGTTTGAATAAATTGCCTACAATAAAAGAGAGGTTTTGCATTTTTGTCCTCTAGAGAGCCATATGTTCGAAGCACTGTGCGCCGCGCCGTCATGTTGATCGCATTAAAATAATATTGAAATCGTGGTTTTGTCATAATATTTAAGTATTTTATTTTTTTGCTAGTGCAAAATTATCATTTGTTAGTGAACATCATCATTTAGTACAATGAGAGTACTCATCATTTGTGTCAAATAAACCTAGTTTGAATAAATTGCCTACAATAAAAGAGAAGTTTTGCCTTTTTGTCCTCTAGAGCCATATGTTCGAAGCACTGTACGCCGCGCCGTCATGTTGATCGCATTAAAATAATATTGAAATAGTGCAGTTATTGAGACTATAAAATACTCAGGTACGAGGTTTGTCTGATGTAACGCTGTTTCGGGTGTAAAAAATAAGTGAAAAAGAATTCGAACTAGGCGTCGTGCTGTGTTTTGTGACAATTTCAAATTTTAATAAAATTGTCGAAAAAATGTTAACGCGTAATGAGAGCGTAATTAAGGCGTTGTTGGGTGCATTCATTAACTCAACTTCCCGGATATTCAACTCTCACGAAACAACATTTTATAGCCTCATAGTTTCTCACATCGATTTGATCAAAAGTAAAAATGGATTCAAGCACTTCGACGAAACAAGTGAGTAAACACAGTGCTCGTTACATAATCACAAAATTAAATAGGCATATACTATGAGAGGATAAAATATAATTTGCAATATTAATGGTTATACTTTTTTAATCAACTAGTGATTAAATGTTTTATGAACATCTTCTAAAATTAAAATTATGTACCTTTAAAAAATTTCATTATAGCCGAAATAGCCCCAATTATGCCCCACTAGCAAAACCGATGATTAAAACTATGCTCGCTACCGTAGTTGAACCCATCTAAAAAGTTGTTTTAACTGGAATAATAAACTATAATACAAGTTAGACCTTCTGAAAATATCAAAATATTTACTTTTTTACACTTTTAGAATAATTAATTAATACATTTTTCGATCGTGGATGGAAAGCTTTTTCTCTACTGCGCATAAGCGTAACCCTACCAAGAACGGTTCTCCGCTATGCTGAAACAAACCTATTAATGATTAATAAGCTTTACCTGAACTGTGTTTATCAGATTTTGTTATAAGGCAAACCTTGTCTATCTCATACGGAGTAGATATATCAACGTACACTCTTTGGGGATACCTTGCAGATTCCACGTGGTCTTCCATTTCCGCCATGACAATTTCGGCTGGTTGAGCTACAGCTTCTTTTTCTATAATTACAAACTATGTTTTTAAAAATCCCAGAATAACTTAGATGAAAACGTGATTAATGCTAGAACTAAAGAAAAAAGCCTGGAAGACTACATCGGCAACTTGGAATGGGAATCCTCCAACGGTCTAAGACAACAACAACAGCAACAAACAACGCTTTATTGTACAAAAAGCCAAAACAGCTTCATCGACAAAGCGCTCACAAAACAACAAAATCACAAAAAAAATACAAACAACAAAAAATACACAATACAAATAATACAATTCAAAAAAATTTAAGTCTTTAAAATTACAAAAAGAATATACATGGACAATTTTAGAACAGTACGCAGTAAATAGATATAATTTTAGAGTTATAAAATATTAAATACTTGACCTTTGACCAGTGTGTGAGATGATCAAAATTTTAAAATTCAAAATTGTTCATAATTAAACAAAAAAGTCGTTTACCGCATATAGGGCTCTCTCCAGTAAGTATGATTTTAGAGCTTTGCGAAATGCGAGAAAGAATGAAAGCGACTTGATATTCAAAGGCAGATGATTGTACATTTTTTTGGCATTGTACAGTATTGAACCTTTAACTAGTTCTGAGCTCGGGTTGGCAGATAATGATCGTGCTCTGCATTCCTGAGTGGATAGTTATAAGATGGCCTTTCGGGAATAGCAGATATGTGCTTGCGGATTAAGCAAACGGATTCAAAAATGAATAAAGAAGGAAGAGTCAGTATTTTCAAATTTTTAAAGAAATTCTGGCAGTGAGTTCTACTGTTCAGTCCCAATAAATATCAAACTGCTCTCTTTGAAGTCTGAAAACACGATCAAATTTTGTTGCGCAGCAAGTACCCCAGAATGGAAGGGCATAACAAAGATGTGACTCAAAAAGGGCATAATAGGCTATTCTAGAGGTTGAGAAGTTAAGTTCCTTAGAAACTGATCTTAGCGCAAAACAGGCAGCGCTTAGTTTCTTTGATAGAGCTTCGATGTGAAAGTCCTATTTTAACGAGTTGTCTACAACAAGTCCTAAGAATTCCGTCGTCCACGACGTCGATAGGGGTGTTGTTAAGTACAAAAGGTTGTATAGTACTTTTATATGACAAAACTTTAGTTTTTGATAGGTTGAGGCATAGGAGATTTGAATCGCACCAAGACTTAATGGTGCGTAAGTCACTGGATATAGTATCATATAGTGCCGCAACATCTGGGCCGCTCCAAGTGAAACTAGTATCGTCCGCAAAGAGGCAGATTTTACCGTTAATGTCTAGATTTGCAATGTCGTTGAGAAACACCAGAAACAAAATAGGGCCAAGTACTGAACCCTGAGGGACATCACATTCTATAGGCTTACAAGAAGACATAGACTTATATCAATCCTCACAAGCTGCCTTCTGTTGCCAAGATATGACTTAAGCCATTCGAACGGCACTCCCCTGAAACCATAGTATTGCAATTTGTTAATTAAGATATTATGATTTACACAATCGAAAGCCTTAAGAGAAATCGCAGAAAATTGTAGCTGTAGAGTGATGGTTATTCAGGCTAGAGTATACATTATTAAAAAGGTCGAACATAGCATCATTTGTACAACTGTTACTTAGAAATCCAAATTGATGAGTAGTAAGTATTTTATATTTAAGGAGAAAAGATAGAAACCTTTTTTTAACCAATCTTTCAATGACCTTAGATAATGTGGGCAGGAGTGCAATTGGGCGATAGTTCGAAGCTTCATCTTTATCTCCTCCTTTATACAGAGGAATAATTATTGCTGTCTTAAGGCAGTTTGGAAAAACTCCTTTTTGGAATGACTCGTTAATTAAAGTAGTAAGATGGTTTAATGTGCATTCAGGAAGTTCAGAGAACATTTTGAGAGTAAGCCCATCAGTCCCAGATGAGGATTTGTTTTTAATACTATTAATTGTACTACGGAGCTCATCTAATGCTACGGGCGTGAAGAAGAAATTCATTGCTCCAAGAAATTTTTCAGGATTTACGACAGAGAAAAATCAAAGACTTTCCTTCATAGCAGTACAAACAATCTTCGGATTGTCACGGGGTTTCTAACAGGGTACTGTTCCTCAATGAACACCTCAGTAGATTGAAGCTAAGAAACAACGGCGAATGCAGATTCTGTGGTGAAAATGGGGAAACACCAGAATAACTCATCACTGAATGCGCCGAGACAACCATACGTGCCAAACACTTTGGTATATACAACTGATATTGGAGATGGAGAACTAACCTCTGTAAAACCGTCTCAGATACAGGCTTGTTTCAAAGCCCTGAGACTGTATGATGAGTTATAAATCATCACGTTATCACAGATTAGGTATACTATATGTATACAGATAAAAATCTTATCCCTAATTCGTGGTACGAAAATTGTTCTTTATGACGATGAGCAAACGAATAAAATTTCCTGTGCGCAAAAATAAACTCGCGTAAAATAACAATAAACAGCATAATAGAGAGATATAGGTAAACCGAATAGCGTGCATGGACGTTAATAAGGCCAGGTGTTATTTCCTTTACGTGAGGTGGTATTAACTCTTTTCATTTATAGTTATCGGATCGGAAAGAATTCTGTTCGCATCGCGTCCGCTATTTAAACTTAACCTAACTTTGAATTTAAAACTTTGAAATTGTTTTGTTTACTAGGTATTTTAAAACTAAAGAGCTAAAGTGCTTATTTCCAGTGCTTTATTGTTCAACGTCTGCCAGTGGGTTTAGGGCAACAAATTCTCTTAGAAGGGCTAAGTCGTCATCTGCTGTAAACCTAAGCCTCTTTATAGGTTCTTTAATATTGGAAGAGGTGGAATCCATATTGTGGGCCATATTTATTTAATTAAAACTAATCCCAGCTACTTAAATATCAAATTACTTAATAAAACTAAAGTAATAATTCAAAACAATTCAAACATAAACTAAAATAAAAGATCTCGCCGGCAGGCCCCGGTTGTTAAATACCCGCACATGCCCATTTAAGCAATTTTTAAACGTTATTTAGAAATAGCGCTTGGTGTAATTCAAGAACAGTTAACCTTACCGTTCTTGAGTGTAATTGATCCGCAAATTACGTCAGGCGGTAACGTTATTAGCGGGCGTTGCATTAAAAATTGACTCGCGCATATCGTAACCATGATAAGGTACGCGTAAATACTGCATGGCGCTATTCAGTTTTCCGATATCTCTCTAATAACTGTGCCGGTCAGGCGCTGTGCACAATTTTAGAGACCATAAGTGGGCGTGCTATGTGCGCAAACTAGTAACCTAACTAGTGCCCGATTCCGAAAATTGGAACCATGAAAAACAATAAAGAAAAAACAAAGTTTATAATCTGTATAATCTGTGACGTTATACAGTTGTAGAGAGTTTAGTTAAATGAAATATTGAAAAGAAAATGATCATTTTGAACGTTTCTTACCAAATTCTGAAAAATTTGCTTCCTCCGCATTGGTTTCTTCAGCTTTAACATTATCATCTTGATATGGTTCTTCCTCTAATTCATCTTTAACCTCAGGTTGATTCCAGTTACTTGATAGTAATCCTTGTTGCTTTGACGGTTTAAGCAGTAACTGTACATATTTCCTTTTCAATCTCATCTTCACCTCTTTGCTGGCATTTTTTATTGTGGGGTGATATTGTATATAGGACTGTGCGGTTGGGCTAACTTCAGGTCCTACTCAAAAATCATTACGTTAATCGACAAGTTTATATAGGGTGATTCACAGCGAATCGATGGTAGATTACACGTTTATGAGGAAATTAATAGATGAGGTAATAGATGTCATTCGCAGCTATAGTAATCGCAAAACAATTTCTGATGCACGTGATTAACTTTGAGTGACAAGCGATGGCGACAGCGCTGCCAGATTGTGATGGATTTATGAGACTAATCTTAATTTAAAATTGACAAACAACTTATTTATTATATCATTTTTAAAGAGTTTTACGTTTTATTTTTAATTTAATAACTAATATTTTAGTGGTTAATTGATGTATTTGTTTCATATGTCCATTATGAGTCCATTATGAAAATTATTATAAGCGTTATTATGGGTTATTTATTTATTGATGTACATCTTACAACGCCATAAGTGGCAATAACAAGTAAGAGGGATTAATGCTCAAACTAATAATCACAGAATTTAATAAAAACTAACTTTGAAACTGGTATAATGTGCTTATCAATCAAACTTACTTTTCTGACTGCAGTCAAGAGTAATAAAGGACCTTTATTGTCACCTTTGAATAAGAAGACTAAGGAAGGAGCATATCAAAAATCTTATGTCCACCGCGATGGGCCTCAAATATGGCCGACTTAAATTCCGGTTTATCAGTGCCGTTCTAAATTTTATTTAAAAAATGTAAAACTATGATGTAGGGTAGACGTGGGGTAGACTCAATAATTTTTTTTTATTTTACGTTGTGAATAAATGTTGGTAGTTATTAAAAACATAAAATTCTAATAAAAATAGATAAGTTGTAATAATTATTATTACATAAACAACCAAACCACAAACATCCGATACGCTACTGAAGCAGGTAAGTCAAATTGACGTATCTAAATTCTTTGACATCTAATTTTTGACAAGTAGTAAATAAAAGCAAAAGCACAAGAAAAAATATATAATTAGTTAATTCAAGTGAATTTCATAAATGATCGGTTTACTACACATATGTATATTATATAGTCACTTACTAGCGAAAAGTTGTTCCATTATTTCACTCGATTTTTGCCGAAATCTACCGCACGCTACACAACCAACTATTTTAGAATCTTTTTCGATAAATCGCGATAGTGTCACTGTTAATTTAAGTTCTGCCACAATTTCCATCTATATCTACTACATTTATACAACTATCAGTAGTAGAATAAATAATAAATAACATAAAATAAGCTCGGTAAAGACTGACAAATCCACAAAATTTCAAATCAAATTGAAATGTGTCAAATGAATCGTCAAACAGAACAGTCAAGGATCCCCACCTTAGAGTCCTTTTTCCGCCCACCATGCATGTATACATGGATAGCATTATGCTCCTTCCTCCTTCCTTAGTCTTCTTATTCAAAGATTGTCACGTTCTCGTTCAAAATAGTTTAAAACAACATGGAAGCTACAAGTTCTTTGCTTCGACTGTTTAAATGCTTCGGCATATTTTCAACACACAATAATTTCAAGAAATGCAATACAAAAACTCGAAAATTTAGTTCTTAAAAGAACTGTTTGTACTTAAAAGTTATGAAAGCTTTTAAAAAAACTATGAAAATAGGAAAGAAGCATTATACAAAATAATGACTGACACTAGGATAATTGTCAAATAGTAAAGGAAACATTGCTGAACACGGCGCAATGTGACCAACATAGCGATAATAAAATTCGGTTTAAACTAATTTTTGCGGCTTTAATCTAAATAAAATATCTGTTACAATCATTTGCTCTATAAAGCAAGATGAAGAGCTGTTCAGTATCTTAAATTATACAACAAATTTAAACATTTTTGCCAAAATTTCATTTAGTTAGGTTTATAGACTTTAGTGTCAATGTCGATATGATTGATGATGTGCATCGGAAAATGTTTTGCGATTACAATAGAAGACCAAACCTAAGGTTCTAGGAAAATATAGGAATTGTAAGAAAAAATGGGAATCCTCCAACGGTCTAAGACACTCGAAGAAATTTCTCAGAACTTACGACCGAGAAAAATCAAAGATTTTCCTTGAATTAAGTGAGAACAGTGACTTACGCCATTAAATCTTGGTGCGATTCTAATCTCCTATGCCTCAACCTTTCAAAAACTAAAGTTTTGTCATATAAAAGTACTATACAACCTTTTGTACTTAATAACACCACTATTGACGTCGTGGACTCTGTGAAATTCTTAGGACTTGTAGACAACTCGTTAAAATGGGACTTTCACATCGAAGCTCTATCAAAGAAACTAAGCGCTGCCTGTTTTGCGCTAAGATCAGTTTCTAAGGAACTTAACTTTCTCAACCTCTAGAATAGCCTATTATGCCCTTTTTGAGTCACATCTTCGTTATGCCCTTCCGTTCTGGGGTACTTGCTGCGCAACAAAATTTGATCGTATTTTCAGACTTCAAAAGAGAGCAGTTCGATATTTATTGGGAGTGAACAGTAGAACTCACTGCCAGAATTTCTTTAAAAATTTCAAAATACTGACTCTTCCTTCTTTATTCATTTTTGAATCCGTTTGCTTAATCCGCAAGCACATATCTGCTACTCCCGAAAGGCCATCTCATAACTATCCACTTAGGAATGTGGAGCACGATTTTTATCTGCCAATCCCGAGCTCAGAACTAGTTAAAGGTTCAATACTGTACAATGCCAAAAAAATGTACAATCATCTGCCTTTGAATATCAAGTCGCTTTCATTCATTACCCGCATTTCGCAAAGCTCTAAAATCATACTTACTGGAGAGAGCCCTATATACGGTAAACGAGTTTTTTGTTGATGTTAAATTATGAACAATTTTGAATTTTAAAATTTTGATCATCTCACACACTGGTCAAAGATCAAGTATTTAATATTTTCTCTAAATTATATCTTTTTACTGCGTTCTGCAATTGTCCATGTATATTCTTTTTGTTATTTTAATGACTTAAATTTTTTTGAATTGTATTATTTGTATTGTGTATTTTTTGTTGTTTGTATTTTTTGTTGTGCTTTTGTTTGTTTTGTGAGTGCTTTGTCGATGAAGCCGTTTTGGCTTTTTGTACAATAAAGCGTTTGTTTGTTTGTTTGTAGAATACTATTCGGATTGTCACGGAGTTTTTAACAGGACACTGTCTATTCAATGATCACCTCACTAGATTGAAGCTAAGAAACAACGGTGAATGCAGATTTTGTGGTGAAAATGGGGAAACTGAGTGCGCCAAGACGACAAACAATCGTGCAATAAACTTTGGTACGACTGATATCGGAGATGGAGAACTAACCTTAGTAAAACCGTCTCAGATACTGGCTTTTGTCACAGCCCTGGGACTGTATGAAGAGTTATAATCAAGAAAGAGGGACCCAATAGATCTGTAATATATACGATATACCTATGATGTATATAAGAACTTACTCTCTTGACTTTTTTGACTTTTTCTGGCTTTAGCACTGCTTGTAGATTTCTTCTTGCTAATTGTAATATTAATCAAATTTTCTCTTTTGGGCTTGTTAGTAATCATTTTCCCTTTCTTGGAGTACTTCGCGTCTAAACATTGAGTCACTCTCTGCATCTGCTCTTCCATTTTTTTACTGCTGATCAGCGCTTGTTCCAAAACGTCGACTTGGCAATCTGTCGCGCCTTCTCTTATTCTGTACCGTTTATTCAGTTTTAGGTGGTGATTGATCGTGTGCGTGGGATAACTGATGTCAGTTTTGCTGGTATGTCTTTTACGAGTCTTTAGCCACATACTACTGGAATGGGCGGAGCTACTCTTGTAGCTGCCTGATGTCTGAAAAATATTAAAGTATTAAAAGCTTTTAATAGAAAGATTTAAGGAAAGAGCATATCAAAAAATTAAATTCCTGTTTATCAGTGCCGTTCTAATTTTAGTCAAAACGTGTAAAAATATGATGTAGGATAGACTCAATAATTTGTTGTTTTATTTGACGTTGTCAATAAATGTTGGTGGTTATTAAAATTATTATAAAAAAATATGTATAAGTTATAATAATTATCAACACAGACATCCGATACGCTACTGCGATACTACGAAGCAGGCAGGTAAGTCAAATTGACGTATCTAAATTCTTTGGCATCTAATCTTTGACTTTGAGTAGTAAATAAAAGCAAAAATGCTAGAAAAAATATATAATTAGTTATTTTTAAGTAAATTTCATAAATGATCGGTTTACTACACGTATGTATATTATACAGGCTGGTCCGAACTGTATTCCGGAAACTTCGGCAGATACAGGGTGTAGAAGTTTCATTTTTATTTCGATTTTTTTTTCAAATAATTTCTGAAGTAACGTCAATATTTGGATGAATTTGGATTGAATGCTGATGATGAGAATATGTTGCTGAAGTTTCCGGAATACAGTTCGGACCACCCTGTATAGTTACTTACTAGTGAAAAATTATTCCATTATTTATTGTTATAAAAATTTTGAAAAATCGTTTTTGCTTATTTCGTAATATTATGTTGTAGTCCTGAAAATACACTTTACAAAACCAGCTTTTTGTTCCAGAGATATTTGTAATGTTACGGATTACGTGGGTCCACTAATTTAAACTCACGATAAAATACTTAACGAATTTATTTCTTTCTCACTCTGTACACACAATTTATACTGATTATAATACACAATTTATGCAACTACTATTACTCTAAATTTCTGGCACCTTCGCCAATTAATTCACAATTTAAAACGCGGTATTATCAAACTTCAAAACTGTCCCAATTGTCGATTACGCGGGCTTATATACTCTACCAACTGTTTCTGGAACCTTCTATAGAATTCTATAAGTAGGCAACCAGCAATACATGTTGCGACAATGTAGGCAACCAGCAATACAGTTTAGCGCCACATACACCTTGACAGTAATAAGAGATATTGTTAAATATTTCAGAAAACAGAAAAATTATTTCTTTTCTAGATTTTCTCAAATAACTCAATATCTATTAGAGATATTGAAAAACGGTGTGCGGCAGTCAATTCTACGTAAAATGAACTATCAGTAAGATGATAATGGAACTGTCAAGGATCACCACCCTAGGGTCCTACCTCCGTCTACCATGCACGAATACGTGGATAGCGTTATACTCCTTCCTTAATCTGTTTATTCGAAGATTATTTACCTTCGGTCTCCACTGCGAATCCAGTTTTTGGGATTTGATACGCTGCAAGTCATGCAGGGCCATCTTGTAATTGTCTAGTTCATCGGTGCCCAAATGGCGATAGGAGTATCCCGAGTAGAGGCGTTTCACAGGTATAGCGGGATCGTCGATTGGGATGCGGTCTTTCGATATGGAATAAATGTGGAAATATTTTTTCGAAATGCTCGGAACGGGGGGATTGACTGTCAGAAAATTATCTGGAATAAAAGTGTCTTTGATAAAAAAAAAACTCTTTCGGATAAACGGGATATAGGGTATCCAGTTAGCTAAAAAATACTTGAAGAAAGTTTATATAGAATGATTCACGCCGACGCCGACGTTTTTAGAGATCCGGTGATAGAATTTTTGCACAAAGGCACCTTGCTCCATTTATCTAAAATATTTTTAGCGTTACAGTGTTACCGCTTCATACTAAAAGTGGTAGCGCCTTTCTTATTTCACATGGATCACCCGGTATATTATTACATTTTTGGGAACTATATTCATATCTCATAATTTTTCTATTATACTACCCTATCCCAATCTCTAATAGTTTTCGAGATAAAAAATAAAGTATGTGCGGAGATAACTCAACGTACAAAAGTTATCTCTGGTATGTAGTTCAGTCATTGGGGATCAAAAAAGGAGCCTGCTTGGAAAAAAGTCCGGATGTTTTGAAACTTTGCAGGTTTATAGGTTTTGGGGTCCCTAACTAAAATCCATAAAATGCACATTTCTAGACTTGCCGCCGGCGCCGCCATCTTGCCAAGATGGCGCCCAAAATCGGTATTTTGTGAATATCTCGAAAACTATGCGTTTTTCGCGAAAATTTGAGAAGAGCAAAATTAAAGAGAATAAAATTTCCTATAAAAAAGGTTTTATGAAAATTTTCGCTAGTCAACCGTTTAGGCACAAAATCCCTGAAAATTTTACAATTTTGCGTAAAATACGATATATTATGTATAGTCGATTTTCCGAAATCAAATGTCGATTAGGGTTTACTAAAACTAGTTTTAGTTTAGTTTCTTCAATTTTGTCATGAAACAGTGGCGTATCATTAATTCGCTCATTAATTTATGAATAATTAATTGTCGTGCTGGACAGCATTCATTGCGAACTTACCACCAGGTTCAGCATTGGTTTGGTTGTACCAAAGATGCCGAAGAATGGGGTTGGAAGAAAACAAGAACAGGCATTATTCCAGTCACAACGTTGAAAGATCCAGCTCCAAAATCCTTGTTGGCATTTTTATCCTGTAAATGCAAAACCAACAACTATGGTAAAGCCTGCGGATGCAGAAAGGCAGGATTAAAATGTTCAATGATTTGTGCATACTGCAATAGGAAATCCTGTGACAACGTCACTGAAGTGTCACTCGACGAATCCGATGAAGAGGAGTTGGACTTGCCTGTAGATATCCCTCTGGCGGCTGAAGATGAAAAGTTGGACGAATTGAGAGACCACCCTGATGAGCCCAGCACAGCAGACATGATCGATTTTGACATCAATGAGCCAGATCCGTCGGGCTTGTGCAGATAAGTTAAAGTTTTTAATTTATCTAATGGAGTAGGCCTCCGGGGAGACCACGTTAAAATAAACGCGCCATATACTTTACCTCTTGGGTGGTGTGGAAACAAGTACACATTTTCAATAATTAAAATTAATTATTCATAAATTAATGAGCGAATTAATGATACGCCACTGTTTTATGACAAAATTGAGGAAACTAAACTAAAACTAGTTTTAGTGAACCCTAATCGAGATTTGATTTCGGAAAATAGATTATACAGAATATATCATATTTTACGCAAAATTGTAAAATTTCCTGGGATTTTGTGCCTAAACTGTGGTTGACTTTAGTGAAACTTTTCATAAAACCGTTTTTATAGAAAATTTTATTCTCTTTAATTTTACTCTCCTCAAATTTTCGCGTAAAACGCATAGTTTTCGAGATATTCACAAAATACCGATTTTGGGTGCCATAGTCTGGAGATGTGCATTTTATGGATTTTAGTTAGGGACCCCAAAACCTATAAACCTGCAAAGTTGCAAAACTTCCGGACTTTTTTCCAAGCAAAAATCCCCAATGACTGAAGTAATGTGTAAAATTAACAAAAACATGATATTGAATATATATAGTTATTGGTATAATAAAATCATGGATTAAACATTTTAAAAGTTGAAATTTAGGTTATAAATTATCGAAAGTCTATTCGATCCTTATTCGATCTGTCTAAATCAACTCATTGGATATTAAACAGGGTGAGCCAAAAAAATATTTATTTCCGTTTGTTATAAAATTGCTGGAATCTTTGTTATTTTAAATTCAACCTTATGTATATTATTTAAAAAATCAAAAAACAAATAAAATAGTTTTTCAAAGATATGTCATATTCCTATACCTAAACCTCCCGGTTTTTTAAGTAGAGCAGCTATTTAAAAATTAATAATTTTAATATTATAGTTTCATCTCAAAAATTTCGTTACCATGGCAATTTTAGAAATTTAGCAGGTAAACTAATTGATGCTTATAAAGTTTGAATATTTGTCATGGTAACGGTATTTTTTAAACGAAACAATACAGGATGAGGTCTTAAATAAGTGCAAATATTTTCAGGGGTGGTATATTTCGCCCCAGGAACACGTCTATGAGGTTATTTCGCAAATAAAAGATGTTGAAAATCGTGCATTTTCTTTTAAATTTCCCTGTATATTTTTCAAAAACTTTTTAGGACTGCCTGTTCACCGCAAATTTTCCCACGGTATAAATTCTTAATCTCTGATATTATCATAGTTACAGCTTTACTCTATGGTTACGGCACTAAAAGGGATGCAAATTCCGGAAAAATCCGGTGGCTCTCAAAATTTTTCAAAAAAAAAATCTTTTTTTTTTAATTTTCAAACTTAAATAACTCAGTTATTTTGGACTTATTTGAAAAATGGTAAAGAGAAAATATGTTTCTTTTATCGAGATCTACCAGTCCTGAAAATATTTGCACTTATTTAAGACTCACTGAAGAAACCAGAAGGTTTAGGTATAGGAATACGATATATCGCTAAAAAGCTATTTTAATTGTATTTCGATTTTTTTAATAATATAGATAGGCTTGACTTTAAAATAACAATGATTTGAGCAATTTTATAACAAACAGAAATACATATTTTTTTGGTCTCCCTGTTTGAGACCGATTGGTGATTTAGACAGATTGATTATGTCGACTTTATGTTTTAACCAATGCTTATTCAAGATCATGTTTTTGTCAGTTTCACACATGTTTTATTTTTTATCTCGAAAACTGTTAGAGATGGGTATAGGTTAGTATAACAGAAAAATTATCAGATATAAAAGTACTTTCAAAAAATGTAATAATATACCGGGTGTTCCATTTAAAATAACAAAGATGATGACACTTTTAATACGAAGCGGCAACACTGTAATGCGGATAATAATTTAGACAGACAGAGCGAAAAAAATCCATAAACCTATAACGTACCATGGCGGTGAATCACCCTGTAAAAAGAAAACAAACTTACTTGTATATAATTTTGGATGTTCTGCTAAATGGCTGGCGTTTTTAACGTTGCCCAATCCAAACGTTTTGGTACAGACATGAACATGTTGTAATTTGGCAGGACATGTTACTGGTCTATTGCTATTTTCTGCTCTAATAATAAAATACATGTATTTTTATAAGATTCAGCATAGAATATCATTCCCGGGTAAAAAGTTTCTTGAGGAAACATTTTTTACTCAAACACTACTCAATGACTAAAGAATACAAAGACAAATAACACCCGAGAGCAAATTGTTACCATGTCACCAAACAGTGCCGTGGCACATTTTTTTGTTAACTTAGCTGTTTGAAGAGATATTTATATTTTTTGATAAATGTTTTGACTACGTCTATGGTGTATACGGTGGTATCATACTAATTAATTACGAAAAAAACGTATTAAAATGTTAATAAAAGGTACAAAACTAGTATCGACGTATAGCACACATCAAGTACATATAATACCAGAAAAATAATTATCGAATTCGATAAGAAAACTAAGAAAACGTTAAAAAGCTTTATTTACCTATGAAACGTAACTCCTGGCCCTTTCCTATCGCTGCGGCTTTTACACTTGAAAGCTGAACAACTAATCACCATTGTAATAAAGTGTATACAAAGATCACTACACAAAAAATATTAAAAATCGCTAAAATTGTCGCTGATGACCAGCTGATGACTCGTTGCCATCAAAAAATGGCGTCTAACGTCACAAATTCTGCTGCAGCCCGTATATGGGCGTTACATGTCCTTGCAGTGGCGGCTCGTCAGGAGCAGTAGGTGAAGGGGCACTTCACCGAAAAAAATACTCAAATTAAAGAAAAAACTTTACTGCTTAAAATATTAATTTAGTTTAATATATTTACATGTATCTAAATAATAAAATAGTAATTTTTTATAAGTTATTTATTTTTTTCCGGGCGGACCTTTGCATAATAGGTCCACCGCATCGTTAATTCCGGCCGAAAAAGTAGCATTATAGGCCCGCACGCAAGTGAAAATTTTTGTATTTCTGAACCAAGCGGCTGCACGGTTTCCATGGTAACGTGACGTCAGCCTATCGGCAGATGTAAATCCCCCCGCCCCGAAATTTATTATCGGCGACCGATGTGAATGAGTTTTTGGGCAGTTCTCTTCGTCTTCCTTCAACTTCATTGTTCAGGAAATCCGTGCAGCGTTGGCGCATAATTTATGCATTTATGCTAATATTCGGCTACTTCGGCGAGTAATTAACTAAGTAATTAACCGTGTAAAGACTGTAAAGTTGTTGTTGATTATTTATTGTTGTTTGTTAATGGTTTTTGTTGATTTAACTTGTTAATTTTTGCTGTTTGTTTTGTTGTTGTGTTTTAAAACTGTTTTATGTGTGTGTGTGTGTTAAAAAATGAACCCAATTAATCAAGGGCGACCAACTGAAACTTTAACCATAAATTACAAAAAAGAAATAAGAAAAAGTGGTAAATCTTATAATATTAAATTTAAGTCTTCCTGGTTTTCTGATTTTAATTGGCTATGTAGTAGCATTGTTTTACAAAAATTATTTTGTTAGTTGTGTTTACGATTTTCTAATAAACATGGCATTTGGAATAAAGAAGGGTTCACTGATTTCGTAAATATAACAAGATCTTTGCATAAACACGAGGATTCTGCAGAACATTTAAAATGTCAGTTAATGCTAAGAAATTAAAAAAAAAATCAAAATACATAGCCGATGCTTTAGAAAAAAACGCTAGACTCTATAAGATTAATTTTCATAAAATTCTCAAAAACTTGGCAAATTCGAAAAAGTAGTTTTATTAGCCCATGTGGTAATTATTGACTGTATCCTCACTTAAATTTTGAGTTTTTTTCTTAATTTTAATGAAAATATTCGTTTAAATAGACTTTAATGAATATAATTAATTAATTAAATGACAGTCATTTAATTAATTAATTATATTCATTAAAGTCTATTTAAACGAATATTTTCAACAAACAATTCTGCTTTTTGTGGCAATCAATTCTGCTTTAAAAACAACTTGAAATGCACCAAGTCAAAGTTGAAACATAATTTTGTTAGTCACATTTTTTAAAATAATAATAATTTAACCAATTTTTGAAAATTTCTTTTAAATATTTTGTATTTGACAGCTCCCAGATGTTAGCTGTCGACTCTGACTTGGTGCATTTTAAGTTGTTTTCAAAGCAGAAGTGATTGCCACAAAAAGATTTGTTAAAACTCTAATATAAAAAAAACGTCCATATGAATCCAACTTTATGGTGGACACTGTATATAATGTTTATTATATTTAATTTAAATTTAATTATATTTTCACTGGAATGCAAAATAATGTGTTTATCTAAAACTGGTTGTATTTCTTTTTACTTAATGCGTTTTAGCCCAAACTAAAACGAAAATAATTATAGGTATTAGTGTATAAATAATAACAAAGAAAAATGTTTTCAAAATGGTGAATGCAGCAAAAATTTTAGAGATAATATTTTAAAAAATGTTGACAAAATGGTGAATGCGCCAAAAAAAATTTTCGCCTGCGGAGAAATTTAAAAAATTAACTCTTCATCTAATTTTATACCCACGAGCCGCTACTGTGCCCTTTTATTCTTTAGTCATTGAGTTTACTAGTATCGTTACCTAATTTTAATAAAATAGCATATCTAATAAATCAAGTTAGGATGTCTTGCTGCAACAAAACCCGCCTTATCCGAGTTATTTTTCTGTTTTTCCTCTTAAAAAATTAAATATTTTCTTTTCTAGAAAACCCAGATACAAAACAATGATTCCACTCAATGGACACGTTTTTTTAATGCTTCAAACATAATGCTAAAACAGTTTTTGCGAAACAACAAGACGGGTTTTGCAACTCGACGCCTCATAATGGTAATCGAACCGCGAGTACTCAAAATATAATGAATAAACTGTGGTACTACCTTAGGCATATAGTACCCACCCTACAAGTGATTACTTACGAAGTTTCGTTGTTGTTAGTGTCTTCTGGCTCTTCCGATCGTTCCCGAGTCGCCGAACTTGACGATGGCTTGCTGTTGGAGAAATGGTACCTGGTACTTTGCGAGATTTTCTTGCACGTGCCGGAGATGTTGCGCGATTTGGACAGATGCGTGCAAACAAACCTGTACATGGTTCTTATTCACTTTAATTTTGAACGGATGGACAAAAAATCATGATGGGACGTCAAAAAGACAACCGTAATGAATGTGACGGTTTAGAGGTAACAGGCTGGTACTTGCTGGTAGTTTCAGATGTACAGGTTGTTGCGAAATAAATGCAAAAGGTTTTAAGGTGGTGTATTGTTGTGGGGAACATAGGAAATCCCATGCAAAATTTGAACTGTGCAAATATTGGTTCCTCTGTTGATTTTATAGCAAAGTCGTAAATAGGTTTTTTAAAATTCTGCATATTAAATACATTAATTTAAGAAAAAGTGCATGTATTTTTACACTCATGCAAAAAAAAACGCAACGGAGAAAATTTTGGTCAAATTTTAAGTGTATTTTGGTTATTTTTAATCCTATTTCCATAATTTTTTAGCAAACTATATAATTATAGCAACTGTAATTCATAAACTATGTTTTTTATAAACTTTACTATTTTGCATATTATACAGGGTTAATCGAGGGGTTGTTTTTTTATCCTAACTTTCAAAACACCCTGTGCAATAATTTCGTGTGTAAATTTTCCTAAAATATAATTTTACGGCAGGGTTGGCATGATTTAAATCAAATGATTTAAATCATGATTTAAATCGTGATATAAATCAAGTGATTTTTTTAATTTTAATTATGTGTGATTTAAATAAAAAAATCAACTTTTTTAAAATACTTTACAATAAATTGAAAATTAACTGTAAAAGTTATAAAAATGTGTCCTAGAAAACAATAAAAAATATTTCTATAACAAATATACCCTATATCTATTCATTAAATAAAATGTTACATTTGCTCTTGTAACGTTTAAATACTTTAATAAATCGAAAAATAATTGTAAATATTATAAAACCATATGAAAAATGATTTGTGTAACATATATACCTACTACATATAATTATCTATTCATTAATTAAAATGTTGGACCGATTTTTGAAGTAATTTCGTGTGAATCCGTTAGACTTCTAAAGGGTAGGGATTTATTTTGAAATTTATGTACAAGTGACAAAAAAACGCTGTTCTAATACATTTCATTCGCAACCTCTAGTGCAGAAAAAGGTTCTTTTGATGTTAGACTATATCTTCATATCGTTGTCAGAAAATATACTGTTTTATATCTTTTTTGAAACTGTATATTGATCAAGATAACTTCTGCCTTCATCAATTTACCTTCTAGTTCTTTTCAAATTTCTACCGACATTGCGACCTGTTGTAAGTATTTTACACTTTGACAATAGATTTCATTCTCAACTAATTTCATTCTCAACAAATTTCATTCTCGACGTAAGGCTATTTCTGAACAATAGTGTATTGTGTAAGGAGTAAAAATTATACTGTTTTTGTAGAGGTTGTACAGTACATCTGCTGGATCTGTGTCTATGAAAGGAATGCGGACAAAAAACATTTAAATAAACAGCAATATATTTTATACGTCGATTTGACGAGTGCGTCACCGCAAATCGCTCCGCCCACTCATTTTATTGGCTACTTGCAAATTTGTTGAATTTTTATTGATGGGACGCGTCGTCTATTTTTTTACGAAAAACATCGAGAGAATATCGTTTCCCCTCTCACGGATACCCCGTAGCTACAGAACGGACAGACGTACTGTACGAGGCACAAAAGGACATTTTTACTCCGAGTAAAATATACTATATTTTTTCAAACATTACAAATAATTTTTTAATCAATTTCAAACGTTGCAAATAATATAAAAAGTAATACCTGGTAAGTAATCGAGTAACAATTTGTTGACTCGTTGAAATTGATGCTTAATATCAATCTAATATTTTTGTACTTTTATGCTTAGGCGTAAAAGTGCTTTATTTTTATGCCTAGGCGTTGAAATGAGAAAAATTAATACTCTTGTAACATTTGAAAAAAAAAATCCTTTTGATCTGAAAATCTGAAGCGAGCGACTTTTTTGGGGGAATATATTGGTAACCGATGTGGGAAAATGACACGCGCCGTAGAATTGTTAATATTATCATTATCGGGCAGAGTAATGAAGATTTAGCCATTTAGTATAGGACTTTAATTGGAATTAAGTCCTAATTATTTGGAAATGCAATTTAAATAATGTTTTCGATTAAAATCAAAAAAATTGATTGATTTGATTTTTTTTAAAAATTGATTTGAAATTGAAAAATAAAAAAAAATGATTGATCTGATTTTTTTTAATTTTTTAAAAAAATCATGATTTTTTCCAACTCTGTTTTACGGTGAGAACAATGACTCCTGAGCATTTTGTTTTTTGATTCACGTCAATACATGCTTTGGTTAATTTTTAAGAGCGAAATGAACTGATCACGATCAATTTGCAATTTTTTTAATTATCATTACTTTTGATGTAATTTTTTAATATGACGAGATGGTTTTGGTGACCATTGTCGTAACGTCACATTACGCTGCATTGGATACTCTATACTAAATTTAAAAAAAAAACGTTAAAGACTAACGATACAGTCTTGGTTTTAATTAACATTCATAACGATAACTGAACTAACGATATTAAAGAATCATCTGTAATACTCAAGTATACAAACAGAAAAAAAAATGTAAAAAATACCCTAATACTTTGTATTACCTCGCTTAGCTGCTATAACTGCCTGTATACGTCCGTTCATACTGTCATTGAGGCTGCATATATCATATTGCGTTAAGCTTTTCCATTCTTCTTTAAGAACCAAGCGAAGTTCATTTAATGAAGCTGTGGGTACCGCTTCGCGACCTCTAAACCTCCTACCAAGCATTTCCCAAATGTCAAACACATGGCAATTCATAGTTATAATGTATAGTTCACAATAATCACCAAAACCGTCTTGTCATATTGAAAAATAACTTCAAAAATAAATGATATTCATTGAAAAAATTGCAAATTGTTGGTGGTAAGTTCATTTCGCTCTTAAAAATTTACCAAGGCATGTATTGACATGATCCAAAAAACAAAATGCTCAGGAGACATGGGTCTAACCGTAAAAATATATTTTAGGAAAATTTACACACGAAATTATTGCACAGGGTGTTTTAAAGTTAAGGTAAAAAAACAACCCCCCGTTTAACCCTGTATAATGGTGCGTCCAGTCCAGACCTGAGGAGTCGAGTGCGAAACGAGCGCGAGACATTCGAAATTCGCTAAGTGTGGACGGATCTCGCAAGAGCCTCGCGACCACCTCGCGAGACAACCCACCAGCCATCTCTTTATTAACGCAGCTCCGGTAGCTCTCACAAAAAAGCCGCATAATTCAAGTTTTTTTAAGCTACTTAAAAGAACTACATTATAACCAGGAGATATTGACAATGATAATGTTCTTGTCATTTGATCAAAGTTCAGAATTTATTTTCTGTAAAAATAGCGCTAAAACTAACACGAAAGATGAACGTGCGCTAAAAACGGCGAGCGTTGTACTGACCATTTTTTTTATTTATACTCGTTATTACTGCTAGCATAAACCGATAGACCTAAATTTTGAATATGTTGTAACTAAATGTATAACTAATTTAATGATAGTGTTCATATTTGTCAGTTTTAAAATTTATAACAGAGATTTTTATCTCAAAGTTATAATATGCTCGGGCAATGTAAACAAATTGAAAATATAAAAAATAATCCAGTTATTTAGGCTTGTCGGAAGCGCTAAAGACTTGTAGAGTATCTAAAGAGTATTTCTATGCAAAAAATCAGCACGATACGATAATTATTAACGAAATGACGGCAGTTTTAAAATTATTTATTTTGTTAAATCGGCGCGCAGCAAAGCGTCGCTGTCTCGCTGTCTCGCCCGCGGCCACGCGCTAAGGTCGTTGTGCAATCAGGACGCTCAATTATATACAGGTTGCTAAAAAATTCATGAAAATAAAGGTAAAAATAACCAAAATATAACACTTTAAATTTGACCAAAAATTTCTCTGTTGCGTTTTTTTGCATCTGAGTGTAGAACAAAACAGTTGAAATAAAAATCCTATAAATCAGAAATAATGAAGTATGTTTTATTGTTTGAAAATATTTAGCGAATTTTCTAGTACTAGTTTTAAACCAGCATAGAACTGATTTTCGTCAAGATTCCGTGATCTAATGAGCGGTCTTCGGACGTTTACCGTTGTACAAATAAAGAAAACTGTTTTCTTCCTTAACCTGCTCGTATCTCCCGCTCATGTACTGTGAATTTGACTGTTTCTTCAGGCACTTCACACACACCTGTTCGTTTTTCACCTTATTGCTACCATCCCCACCGTCGGCGGTAGTTTCTGGTATCTTCTTCATTTGAATTACTGGCTTGGCGTTTGTTAGCGACTGCGTTTTAGACTGTTTAAGAGTGGAATAGGGCGATTTCGAGCCGTAGATCGTTGAAATGTTATTAAACGTCACTTCCTTCACAGGCTTGTTACTGCACACGCGAGATTTCTTCAAAATCGACTTGAAGAACGGCATTTGATCCCGTATTTCCTGTAGACTATCCGTGGACCTGTCACGCTTAATGGAAGATCTAGATGATCTCATAGATAGATCGGAATTACTCGGAGATAGTAGAGAGTCGTCAGAAACAGAGGATCGAACGTTTGGTTTTATGTAGTATTTTGACGAGGATTTTTTCGACGACTCTACGCTGTTAAGGTTGAAGTTTTGCCATGGATATGCCCGCTTCAGTTTTGAGCGTGGTTTTTCGTGTACTTCGCTGGTAAAACTACGTAGGTTCGTGGAGTTACACTTGGGTTTCGGGTCAGTTCTTGGAGGCTTTTCTACTATCAGGGAATTCCGCAGGCTGTGTTCCGAAGATGTTTTACTCAGGGACACGGAATTATTGCTACTAGAGCTTCTGATCGTACACACAGACGATTTTTTCTCCAAGTTTGAATATTTCAAGTCCGCCGATGCAGTTTTTCTTACATTGTTGGGTATTATCTTGATAATTGGTTTCGATATTTTCTTATTCAAGGCTGAATCGCTATTGTTTCGTTTCAAACCCACGGGATAGTGTAGCAGCTCCACCTTCTGGCTGGCCATACGGATAATGCTTCTGATAAATTTGAAAGGATACTGGTTCCTTATGTAA